TATACATTTTAACATATTCTGACTAGGTTATTAAGGATTTTGTTACCAATTTAGGCTTCAGGACTAGTCTGCATCAACACCTGAACTAAGGATATGGAGTGAAGTAGTCGAACGCATCGACAACTTCACTTATCTTGGAAGTCTGATCAGCCCTAATGGGTTGGTGTCTGACGAAATCTCAGCACGGATTCGAAAAGCTCGCTTGGCTTTTGCCAACTTACGTCACCTTTGGCGAAGGCGAGATATCCGTCTATCAATAAAAGGACGAGTATACTGCGCGGCAGTCCGTTCTGTTTTAATTTACGGTAGCGAAACATGGCCATTAAGAGTAGAAGATACTCGTAAGCTACTAGTATTTGACCACAGATGCCTTAGAAATATTTCTGGCGTCTGCTGGGATCACCGGGTAAATAATAGTGAGATTAAACGCAGGGTATTAGGGAATGATGATGGTAAGTCAGTTGATGAGGTTGTAAATCTTCATCAACTGAGATGGTTGGGCCACGTGTTACGTACGCCTGAACACCGATTACCACGACGTGCAATGCTAACCGGTGTTGGAGATGGTTGGAAGAAAGTTAGGGGCGGCCAAACCAAAACGTGGCATCAGTGCTTGAAGTCACCAACTTCTAGTCTGAGCCATGTTGGTAGATGCAGACTACTTGGTTCGGGTCCGCGTGACTATCGTAACCAATGGTCGGAGACTCTTGGTGACATGGCTCAGAATCTATCACCATGGCGTCGGTGTATGCACTCTCTGTGTTTCCTTAAACCGTGAGATTAAAACTGCTTCATAACTTTCTACGAACTAATTCCTTCTTCCTGTACTATGTCCTTATTGCAATCTTTCTTTTATATATTACCACCTCTGAATTAACTACTTTTACGAATCCGGTGTTCATCTTGTTGCTTTAATGAGTTATGACAACTTGGGCCGATGCATATATGTGCCTGGTCCTACGTTGTAGCTGACTGACTGACTCTAGACTAAAAAGTTCACGCATAAACTTATAAATATCCTTGCTTTATGTATCTCACGTGAGGTGGTAAGCAAAACTTCTTTACATACTCTCCACATCTTTTTCTGATTGGGGCTCAAGTTTAGACGATGTCTTAGCAATAGGCAGCGGTTAGAAAGTCAGTGTCCAGAAATATCATAAATCATAAGTTTTACTTCAGCTAATAGCATCTTTACTTATTACGTCTGAGCCCTAAACAACTCCAAAATATAATTTGTAATGCGAATGGATACTGATGCTTAATAGATGATTACTCAGTACACACTGATGCATCTTTGAGGTAAATTATTGTCATACTATATACTCTCCTCCTGTAGATGCCTTCCAGATGTGCTGCTCAATAATAGCAACTTCATGTGTTTTGAAAATGGACAATTGGATGGTGATGATCATCTGTTTTATCCAGTTTATCCATTCGATAAATATTCATTTGTGAAGCGTTTATTAGAGGCATAAACTATGATTTTCGACAACTGCAAAGTATACGTTCTATTGTTACATCATTTCCTCTAAATAGCATCTGTATTCACTTGAAGGTTTTCAGTTGTCAAAAATAGTCAGTTCAATGTAGATTTCCGCACTAAAAGAAGATCGAACCGTCGACGATCAATAAGCTTGTTGTTTTCATCTTTTATCACAAGTCCAGATGGGGGAATGTATATGAATCCTTGCAGTTTACTGTAGAATAAACAACATTGTTCACTACCGGGCGGTTAATTTCAAGTACATGGTGTTAGTTGTTACGCTATCTGAATAAGTAAATACATTATAAACTCGAGTTGTTTTTCCTGTTTACATTGGTAGATTCATCAGTATGAGTGGGATCATTAACTGATAGCTTCTGTAAAGTACTAACTGAGATAAGAAGCGTAAATTCCGAATACTGAACAATGGAAATTTTCGTCATTAGGTCAACGCGGTAAACCGTAGCAAAGGAATATACTTTAGCTTTCTTAGTATATTAAACCACAAACGATGCTGCTACTCGATGTGATTTGTATCCATAATAAAATAGCGTATATGCGCGTTGAAATTCATTAAATTTCCTCTGGAAATAATCCCGAAATAAGAAGAGATTATTCAGAATCATCCGACTGAACCGTCCACTTACTTCGACCGAAATATTTCGCGGACTTGGAGCTTGACTAACAGTGCTAGATATTTCCCTGCTAACTTCAATAAACAGTCCCTAGAATTGTATAAAATTGTATTTACTGATATTATGCTATGTTTGTAATCTAATACGATTTTCAAAAAAGCAGATATAACTGCAGCTTTTCAATGGATAATTACTCAAAAACAACTGCAGTGTTTGCACTTGAAATAAAGGTAACATACTCGACATGATTTTAAACGACATTTGAAGATTCATCTGATATTGTTTGCTTGAATCTTCCCATTCATGTTTAGGATTTCAATTGATCAGACCCTTAATGGCATATTTACATCCTGTGCAGATTGCCTCGATATTGTTTTAAGTCACAAGCATTATAAGCAGAGACGAATGGTGGCTAGCAGTGGAATACAGGACGCGTGTTTCGTCTTATTTTGGAACTCGTTAGCTGGGTGTACCTGCACTATAGAGTTGATGGCGTCTGAAGCGAACGGCACTGGGTTCGAGCCCCAGGGTGAACATCAACTCGGATGCAGGTACATCCAGCTGACGAGTCCCAAGATGAGACGAAACAAGTTTCCTGTATTCCACTGCTAGCCACCATCCATCTCTGTTTATTAAACATTATAGTTCATGAATTCCTTATTATCTAATTAATGACATGTAGTTTTTCTCAAAGTAACTGAATAAACTTATGAGTTACATGTAATGTCGTTTAGTGTTTTTTTGCCTATCATCTGAAACGGAAACTAATAAATTTTCTGTACTTATTCCCTATATGTAAAAGTCCTACTGTCGAACCAAAATAATAGCTCTACGTTTTAATAATAATAATAATAATAATAATAATAATATTAACTGGAACATACTACAAAAGGGAATTAGAACTAGCAAAGGATGAGAGGTTGGATGTATCTCTTTTGCACTCAAAGCTGGGGCTTGAGTTTATGGATCGCCAATGCCTCAACAGTTCACAAGATTTTTATTCGACTTCCCTTCGATCCAAATCCTTTGACTGTGTAGATTATTTTTTCTAAAAAAAAGACTCCTTCGGAGAGATATGTTCGGAGTTGATTAAATACTACTTATATTGAGCTGGTAATTGTCTTGGCGTTCTCCTTTTAAAAGCTATGTCGGGTAGTGTTCTTAGATGCTTTTAGAAAGTGATCACTTTATGCGGCCAATGTAACCTGCCTCATATGAGCAAGTAAATTTATAGATGCAAATTGATATGGCCCAAAGTGGAAGTTTATCCTTAACACATCGGTGAATAGTAGGCCAGTTTGAGAAAACAATACGAAGTTTAGCGGAATAGAATATGTTATTTAAGGATTTTGAAATCCGTTTATTCAAGATTTCAACAACCATACCTTCTTTTTAATTCGATATTTATAAATGATTTTGTCGAAAAGAAAATTCTCTCCGTCGAATTCTCTTTATTTTTATTGAATAACATTTGGATTTGTTTCACTATCTACAGTAGTCAATTCATGATATAAAAATACTTCAATCGTTTAATCTGTTTGTCCCTTGTTCCAACCGGGATTATAATTTATGAACGGACCAATCAGAATTAAGATAAAGGATTTTGGATTTTAAAACAAAATTCATCCACTCATCCGGCTAAATATTATTTCGGCGTTATAGCTGATGTCAGTTCGTGATGGAAACTTTAAATCGAATTCCCAACCCTAAACATCAACTGTGAACAAAAATTATAATTACCAGTATAGGGTTGTTGAGATCATGAAGCGATTGATGTTAAACCACCATTGAGAACCTGGAAGCACTGGAAGGCCGTTTCGTCCTATTGTGGGACTGCTCAGCAGTGCGCATCCATGACCCTGATCATGGGTTTCGGACCGAGGGCTTTCAGTCTCGCGCGTGACTGCTTAACCTACTGGACCGCTGAGCCGGCATCCAATGGCGTTAATGTCTAACATTAACCGATCCACGAAGTTGCACGACCATCTTCCATTGTACTGAGGTAAACACCTGTTTCTATCCGGCACGGATTAGCTCCACTGGTCACGGCTTTTCATCAGAACTTCGAGAATTTTCTCACAAAGCTAGTCACTAGTGAGCAGATGGTAATTATCAGTTTAGAGGTTGTGGAGATTGTAAAGTTCTTGATTGAGATTATGAATCGATTGATGTTAGACCGCCATTGAAAATCTGGAAGCACTGGACGGCCATTTCATAACATTGCAGGACTCTTTAGCAGTGCGCATCCATAATCCCACTAGCAGGATTCGAATCCAGAGCCTTCAGTCTCGCATGCGAACGCTCAACCTACTAGACCACTGATTCGGCATCCAACGGTGTTGATGATCGCACAATTTCGTGGATTGGTTGAGGTTAGACATTAATACCTTTGGATGCTAGCTCAATAGTCTAAAGGTTATGCGTTCGCACACTAGACCGAAAACCCTGAGTTCGAATCCCGCAGGGGGAATCGTGAATGCGCACTGCTGAGAAGTCCTATACTAGGATGAAACGGTCGTCCAGTGCTTTCAGATTTTCAATGGCGGTCTAACACCAATCGCTTTATGATCTCAATCAACATTATAATTCCTCACACTGATTTATAACCGTCATTTAATCCTAATACGTGGGTGGATATTTTCAAGGTCATTTTAACATTTGCTCAAACATCGTCTGACCGATAATATCCATGTTAATAACTACCGATACATTTTGAAACAGTTGATGAGAATAATAAAAAAAAGCAGATTAACTCAATTCTCATTGGTTACCTACCTTTATTTTATTGATTTTTCCTAATATTATTTTCATTGAGATAACGATAAAATTAACCAATCAGAATAAAGAGTTTGTACTATTTTTCATACGACCAATATATCAATGAAGAAGAAGAAGAAGATAAAAGGCAACATTCAGTGAAGATCATTTACAATTCATGAGTATCCATGACATTGTGATTATAAATAGATCATTATTATCTTGATTATTATTATTATTATTACCAAGATTATAAGTACTAGAAGTATTTGAAGTAAAGGATCATAAATGAATTTAATTTCAATATTTTCTTACATAATTGATGATTATTAATAATAAATAGAGCAAATATGTATTTCAATTTCTTCATTAATCTCTTATTTACATGGAAGTATATAACATGTATAATATATGATTTCCAAAGATATCCATTTACAAATGATGATAATGATGATGAATTTCAAAGTGAGGTATGTTACCATTGATATCGATTATATTAATGGTAATAATAATAATAATAATAATAATAATAATATTATATACCCTGATCGAATCTTTAGATGATCCATCGTTCCCATTGTGTATAGTATAATGATTCTTATCGTTTTAGATTTATTTTAATGGATTGGGTTATAGATGTGAACTGTATAATATGCTGTCATACGTTTATGAAACGCTTATGACTATTCAGGATTTTGAATTCTGTAAAGCCTCGAGTGCACAAACCATGGATAATGATATAAGTCTGTCTTTGTATACCTATATGATAAACGAGAGGTGTTTAAACACACACACATTCTATCTCTCTCCCTATATATATATAGAACGGTGTCAGGCAAGGTTGCTTACTCTCACCCTTCCTCTTTCTCCTGGTGACCGACTGGATCATAAAGACATCAACGTCTGAAGGGAAGCACGAGATACAGTGGACAGCTAGGATGCAGTTGGACGATCTAGACTTCGCAGATGATCTGGCCCTTCTATCCCAAACGCAACAAGAAATGCAGGAGAAGACGACCAGTGTAGCAGCAGCCTCAGCAGCAATAGGTCTCAATATACACAAAGGGAAAAGCAGGATTCTCCGATACAACACAGAATGCACCAATCCAATCACAATTGACGGAGAAGATTTGGAAGATGTAAAAACCTTTACGTATTTGGGCAGCATCATTGATGAACAGGGTGGATATGATGCAGATGTGAAGGCGCGGATCGGCAAAGCAAGAGCAGCATATTTACAACTGAGGAACATCTGGAACTCAAAGCAACTGTCAACCAACACCAAGGTCAGGATTTTCAATACAAATGTCAAGACAGTTCTACTGTATGGGGCAGAAACCTGGAGAACTATGAAAGCCATCATCCAGAAGATACAAGTGTTTATTAACAGTTGTCTTCGCAAAATACTTCGGATCCGTCGGCCGGACACTATTAGCAACAACCTACTATGGGAAAGAACAAATCCAATCCCAGCAGTGGACGAAATCAGGAAGAAGCGCTGGTAGTGGATAGGACACACATTGAGGAAAGCACCCGACTGCGTCACGAGACAGGCCCTCTTAATTTAGTCAAATTTATAAATGGGAAGAATTGTAATGAAAGTTTGTAACCAAACAGAAAACAGCTTCTGCAAGTGGATTGTTTATAGAGAAAATAACAGTATTACAAATAGTGAACCAATTTCACGTAATTAATTAATCTATTACTAAAGTCTTCTACAGGTTACTCTGTCTGTATGTCCTCAGAAAACTAACGACATGTAAACTTGTCTTTATGGATTTAGGTTATTTTATTTTCTTGAACCCTTAAAAAGAGCCAAACAGGCTTTTAAGAGTCCTTAGGATTAGAGTTTTCCTCACAAATTGACAATACAGATGTACTCTGTAGCTATATAGATAAATGAATTTTCATTGGAAATATATAAGATGCATTACTTGATTAGTCCAACCGTAAAATCAATTATTCACAAAATTTTGAGCCATATAAAAAGATATTTCTATTGCTCACTCTAAATGACATTCAACTTTCGCCCAAATCTCTGAAAGTTACATTCCCAATTCTGAATGACTTACACATAGAGTATGATTCTACTAAACTTTCTTGTTTGAAATTGAGCTACGCCGGCAACTTGAAACATGCGATTTTACGTTAATCTCAGCTCCATAGAGTTCATTATTCAAAAGGTTTCGAAATCATACTACCGTTGTAGTGAACAGAACACGGGTGGGGACATTTGAATTCCATGCAGCACAAAATTACACAGTTACTTGATAAAATAAAAAAACCATATGGGAAGTCGTTAATTTGCAAAATATTAATCCATCATATCAAACCGGACTGTTCCTGTTGCAATCATCAATCCATTGTCTCACATTTCATTGTTCATGCGTTTTCTCACAAATTGCATTGTGTTCCCGCTCTTTCTTTCTTGATCTTCCCCCATCTTCTGCTGCTAGACATTATGTTTTTAACTCGCGTCATATACTACTTACATCAATTTAAGTAGCGCGCATTACACCGTCACAGTTAATAAATGTCTGTATTATACTTTAACTAGTTGGGGAATGTGATGTTCAACAATGTATAATATGTTAATCCATCTCTGTTTTTCAGTGACATATCTGATTAACTGATGATTACTTTTGTGTTTCAGATTCCCATTAGTTACACAAGATTGTAATATACAGTGATACAGTCGGTTGATAACTGAGTAACTCGTCTAGTCTTTTTAGTGCTGATTGGATTTTGTCGGTTACGTTGCAATATGATTACTCGTTTAGGTGACTTGACATGGAACAAACTATCCTGAGTGCTTGAAATGCTTAGACCTTTCCCCCATATCGTAGAGTGATTGATGACCTTATGTTGGCATTTATTATCTTAAATAATGATTTGAGTGTTAAGATGTCTTGTCTTTTTGATCTTTCCGGAACCAATCATATTCGAGACCACCGTAAGAAGGTTAAAAAACCGCGATCAAATAAACGCAGAGTGGAATTTCGATTTTCTTATCGAATGGTCGATGACTGGAACGTCCTAACCGAACGAGTGGTATAAGCTTCATTAAGGAATGCCTTCAAGGAGAAGCGAGATCTTCATTGGAAAACAAACTGCAAGGATTAACATAGGCTAATATAAATACTATCCTTATTAATGAAGACTGGGATGCAGGGTGATAGGATATAGATTACAGCATGCAGAAGTATACAATAATTAGTGATATATAGCGTTTATTTTCAGTCTTAATAATTCATTTATTAATTTAAAAATTACTTTATTCTTACAGGGTATATGTAAGTGGCAATTTGCCATATTGAACATGCACTAAGTCAACTATTCAGTAGTTCTGTTTCCCTTAAATTCGTCCATTTAGAACTTTAGAATCAATAGTATAATTAAATCATCAAATTGATTGTACTATCATGAAAATTCCATGAAAACATTATCATTGAAGTAGTCCATCCCATATTCATAATTATCAGGGTAAATTACTAATTCAAATAATAACAGTCCTGGCGGTTGATTTGGACTTAATATTGAATTTGATGATGTTGTTTTCTATGCTTCTACAAAATAGATTTAAGCTGCGCTTGGGATATTGACATGGATGTATTTTTCTTGCAGAGTCGAAAATTTATTGCCAAAATATTGTTGAACTAACTCGTCATCAGAAAATTTATTGTATCATCCTAGTCTGTCATCAATATATATGAGCTTCACGAGTTATTTCAATGAGAAAATTCAGGGTGAGTAGGAAGCTTCTGTTGGCTAACTCAAATCGAGAACATATATACAAGCTCATTTATAAATAGATATCCGTCCCCCTCAGAAAATTGGACTGAAGTTTCAACTAGTACTGTTTCATCTGTTTCCTCAGAAAGTTATGTCAAGTACTGACCAGTAAATGTGTACCCGTTAACATATATCTCTTATCATTTGGCCTACAATTGATATGTCTGATTGATCTAGGCTATCAATTATATAAGACTTAAAAAGTATTGTATTGTTAAATAGTGAAAAATACAGACTGAAAAATCAAATTTCCTGAAATTTTTCTTCTTATCGATCCTCTTTAAAAAAAATTATGGTTGAATATATTGGAATTCATAAACCTTATACAGGGATAAAGTGTTCTTCTTTTTTCACAAATAACTGGAATTTGAATAAACATTGAATAAAAGTCTGTTGAAATGTTGTACAATCGATGGTGAGAGCTCCATAATGTAATGGAATCATTTTGTTTCAATATAACATACTAAAAGTTCTTTGAAAAAGTGTGTTTCTAGTTGATAACTTACTCCTGTTACTCCTCGTCAAGGAGCATAGGCCGCCCACCAACATTCTCCACCCAACCCCGTCCTGGGCAATCCTTTTCAGCCCTATCCAGTTGTTATTCATCTTTTTCATATCTGATTCTATTTCCCGATGTAATGTGTTCTTTGGCCTTCCTCTTTTCCGCTTCCCTTCAGGATTCCAAGTTAGGGCTTGCCTCGTGATGTAGTTTGGTGATTTCGGTAATGTATGTCCTATCCATTTCCATCGTCTTCTCATAATTTCGTTTTCAGCTGGAAGCTGGTTTGTCCTCTCCCACAGAAGGTTGTTGCCGATGATGTCCAACCAATGGATGGCCGGACACCATTAGCCAATAATTACTTTAAAACAGTTTATGTAGCAACGGATATTATAGCTCAGAATAATCTAGCATTCTGTGACAAATTATTTTTTCTTCAGTAATAAAAAATACAGGTAATGTAGAGACTATTAACATCACAAACCGACTTATGATAAGGAGTGAAAACCACGAAGCACTGAAGAGCTATTTGGTTCTAGTATAAGGTGCAACAATACACATTCACCACCCTACCGGAAATCAAACCCAAGGCGTTTAATCACTTACGAATCTTGAAATTCTAGATCAATAAACCGGAATCTATTGGTGTATACGTCTAACTTTAGTTAATTCATAGTATTACATGACCACCTTACATTGTCTTCGGTAAGTAACTGCCTTACGCCCGATATGGTTGAACTTAACTGGTTATGGATTATCATTAAAATTCTATCTCTTGAAATTTCCAGCTGTACATTATTTTAAATGATAGTCGTCAAGAGCGTAGAAATTAACTATTTTTTTATTCTTGTATATTTTATCTCTAGTTAATTAGACAAAACGATTTCTTTATTGGCTTTAATGAATCCTGGCCATTAAGAAATGTGAACGACTATTTAGGGGTGGTATCCTCTGTTAAAGCAACGGATCAATCCGCTTCAAATGTTTACGTTTTACATCGTGGTGATCGAGTATGGGATCAAAAGTAAGCTAGTTAGTAATATGTTAATGGGGGAAAATGGGTTGTTTAGCGTTTTGTTTTCAGAAAATGAAACTCCACCCTAAAAATTAGTCAACTGTAATCTAGGAACAGTGTATTGTAATCATTATTATCGACAGTTATAATGAAATTCATCTAATAATTAGCGTACCAAAACAGTAATGAAAATAATAATTGATATAATTAAACCAAGAAATTTGAATATCCAACTCTTATGTTCATTGCTCATATTGATCTTAATTGGTATTATTACTCAAAGTGACTGGTTAACATGAACTGAGTAGATCTGACCATAGCAAATAAACACTGGTGAATAGATGAAGATTTTTTAAACACACACTTAGTGTGACAACTGAAATGCCAATATTCGGTTTGAATACAGAGCTGACGAACCAAAATTTATTCGATTAAACGAGACTATGTTCTTTTGTATAGCGTACGAAGCATTTTTGAGTTACTCGTATTAAATTATATCAAAATACAAACTCTGTGCTCAATTTAAACGGTTCTAATTTAAGAAATAGAACAAATTATATCAAAAATACAAAATACCTCAAACGGTACAGCTTGTGTTATTCAGTCAAGGGTTTCTCTAACACAAATTAGCGTGCTAAATAACAAAAGAGTTCAGTACATGAGAATCAATAAAAATATTCCCAACAAGATGAGAACACATCTATCTGCAGGGATTCTAGCAATCCTCCCAAGCAGAAAGTCAAAAGGTTAACAGTTACACACTAAACCACGCCGTGACCTTGAGCTTAATTAAACATAACCTTATTGTCAATAGTCGGGCAACATGCAATAGAAAAATTAGGCAACAAAAGATAAGTCTTTAATCAAAATCACACAATAAAAGCTCAGATGAAGAAGACTGAAGAACACAAAGTGTGGTTAAAGAGAGTTTTGAACAGAGGTTAAAATACACAACAGAGAGAAGAAACAAATAGATGACAGTAGTGTCCAACAAAAATGCTATGGAGGGATTTTCAACGTTTTCTTCCTATTACACTTAGAACAATTCAATTTACACTGACGAAACATTGAATTTCGAATTGGCTATAAGTGTGTAACATGTGTCAAAGAACAATCAGTATCTTCTAATATATTTGACCATAGTTCACGCACATTAAAATGTTACGACTGACCTATTGAGTGATAAACTTAGGCTTTCTTAACACTTATTTACTTGAACACATAATAAATAGGCCTTCTACTGAAGATTGACTTGAAGAGTTATTGAATCATTCTTCGTAACATTAAAATTTCTTATCTATCGTTTGAATGTCAATAGTTTTAATGATCATAGGAATTCTTGAATTTGTTGTATTCAAAAATCTCTATTTTTAAGCAAGTAACTATGCATTACACTTTGTGTTCTTAAGAATCATTCGATTCCCATTGACTTATAAGGAAACTAATCTTCCTTAATCATAGTATAATACACCCAGTGTTGATTTTGAAACATACTAAACAGTTAGGCAAGATAAAATTATGGTGGAGTTTTGTTCTCTGATTGGATGGTTTGGTTATGGAGCTTTCATCATTATTCTGAACGATATCATCAGCACAAACTTCAAGTAATAGTGAATTGTCCGAATTTCTCGACATATGACTCAAATTAATGCAGGATACAATCAAAATAAAGAAGTAAACAACGACAGGTTAAAGGTCAACAATAACCAATCAAGATCAAGGTCTACAGGACAAGCTGGAAGTCATTTGTAGGGAAATTCGAACAGTTCACTATTACTTGAAGTTTGTACTGATGATATTGTTCAGAAGAACGATGACAGCTCCACAACCAAACCATCCAACTTAGAGAACAGAATTCCACCAAAACATCCACTTGAGCTACAAATCTTCTACACTATCTCAAGATAAAAATTTACGATTATCCATAACATTCAATGATTATAACTTCAAGTATTTAAACCATAGAGGTAAGTGTTCTTTTAAAACGTCATGTTTGCTTTAAATAGGCTTGATGATCGATGAACTCTATTGATCATAACTTCTCAGTGGAACATCGGAATCCATTTAGAAGTTACTCATTAGAGATTATTATTAACATTTGCATTAGTATTATTAATATTATTATCAAACTAAGAAAACTGTGGAATTTTTGGAACTGAGAGAAAATACTTGTCCGTTATTTATTGATTTCAACGGTTGAATGTACCTATAACTTGCCTAATGCATTCCCTCTCGAAAGATCCACATAGGCCAATAAAGACTGATAAATTGCAATTCCGAACATTAATAAATGCGAAAATATAAACCCCTAGATATGTAACTTCGTACCAATTCAACAATTTAGTGGTTAACTGAACTAAATAGCTTAAAGGAAACAACATTAGAGGACAGAACACCTATACTGGATTTCACTGTCATCTACAGTTCAAATCTGAAAAAAACTTTCATGCATTAAGGCTATCCTCGAGCCAAACTCTTCAGGAAAAACAAATCTTTGTAGAGAGTGAACAATTTTGATCCCGAATATTGACAACAAAAAACTACAAATCCTTACGAAAAGAATATCACTGTTCTAAGTTTTTCCATCTCTGTCTTTTATTTTATTTATAGTACATTTGATGATCGAGATAATTACCGTCTCAATAAGTCTGAACCTATACAAAAAGGAGTTTTAGTACAAATCTTTAATGGAGAGATTAAAAGAACTTATTTTCCTTTCAAGTAAGTAATATTTTCTGTCCTACCACGATATAATACTATAATATGATGATAAAAGCCTGGTATGAAACTATGCTAAAACTTAACCGGATACTCGATAGATAGTCTATTCTCAGAGATTGAAATCACCATGTACCAGATTTGTGATCTGTGACTAGATATAGAGTACTAGATTATTAGGCTAAACAGTACTCGATTCAACAGAATTGTAGTCAGTCTTGACTCAGTGAAGATTAGAGTAGAAATCAATAATAAAAAGGCAATCACATATTTACTAGTTGGTAAGTTAAGTGTCTGTTTGTCTTCACTTATGAGTCAATCACATCATAGTTTCACTGACCATGCAGCAGTATGTATGTATCAAGAAACGAACTATTTTCTTAACAATGGTTTGCAATTATTTTTGAAGGTAGGAAATAAATAGTACGAGGGTCGACAGTGAGTTATCTTCGCATATCCAACAGATAATCTCATAATACTGGTAGAACCACGACTTTAAATTACAATTTGAGATCAAGGAAATACAAGTAGTATTGAATGTCGAAATGTATCTGTATATTGTGGAACTTAAGTATTTTGTCAAAATGTTTAATATAGTTATGGTGAGACTATAATTTATGTGTGAACCAGTCAGATTTACGATAACAGGTCTTGAATTTTGGCGCGAAATTAATTCATTCATTCGGCTAAATAGAGTTTTGGCATTATAGCTGATTTCAGTTCGTTATGAAAACCCTATTATCTGATTTCTAACCGTAACTATCAACTGTAAATATTAATCCTAATTTCTCACACTGGTTCATAATCTTCATTTAACCATAGTATGTAGGTGGACATTCTCAAAGTCTCTTTAGCGTCACTCAAAGGTTGTTCATAAATTATAGTCTCACTACAAAATCTATCACTTATTCATGAGAAATAATAGGATTATGTGTTGGTTTTCAATTGACCAATAATTAATCAAGACTGAAGGTCAAGGTAAGGATGGGAAATCAATTGATGAAGTAGTGAAACTTCATCAGTTGAGATGGCTGGGACATGCGTTACGTATGCCCAACCACCGACTGCCTCGACGTGCGATGTTCAGTGGTATAGGAGTAGGTTGGGAGAAAGCTAGGAGCGGCCAGATCAAAACATGGCACAAGTCCATGAAGTCACTGACAAGTGGACTGAGACATGTTGGTAGGTGTAGACTACCTGGTTGGGATCCGCGAGATGATAGCAACCGATGGTTAGAGACCCTGAATGACATGTCTCAAAATCGTTTGCAATGGCACAGGTGCATACACTCTATGTGTTCTCCCAAATTCTAATTTTCTGAATGCTCCTTGTCTCTTTTTTTCTCTTTCCAAATTTATTTCAATGGATTATACTCTTTAAATAACTTCTTCAAACTCTAATCTTTCCGATTACTGCTTATACTCTTACTACCTCTATCACTACGGGATTTGAATGGACAACTGCATCTCTATGCTAATGTGGTATGGCAACTCGAACTGATGTACGTACGTACGAAGTTCTACGTTGTTACTGACTGACTGAAGATCAAGGTCATAAACCAACCAATAACTAATCAATTCAGTATTTCATAACAAATACTTCAACAATTTCTCATTGATAATTGATTAGAATAAAGCAATAACATTTATTCTTGATCTAACTCAGCCACATACATAGAATGAATATGTCTTAAGTTTTAAAATAAGTATTCATTATCAGTTGTAAAATGATGTGTTATTTGTTGTTGTCTCTTTTACCCCCAAAAAAATAAAGATTCTTCCTTCCTCATGGGCTTACAATAGATCCTGATGGAAATTTCTGGATTACAGATATAGCTTTACATCAAGTAAGTTTGACACAATCAACTAAATATTATAAAATGGAACTGTTTTTTTTTATATTTAGTTAACTCATGTGCTAATTTTTTATGGCTAAGCTTTAATGATAACAATAATAGCTATTATTACTATTGTTATAACTTGTACCCTGTGTCCTATTAATGCATAACGTAATGATACCACCAATTAGAGAACAGTGAATTATCTATTCGACCAATGATACATAAAACATATACGAGCAGTCTAGAGTCCTCACCGATCCTGCTTCCCGCCTAGCCTTGCCTGTTAAGTCCAGAACACCAATCTCAGCTCCCGTGCTATGAATCATTTATTTCAAGCACACTGGGTTTATATACCAACCAGATAGACCACATCGTACCATAAAATAGGAAACAACATTTGTACAAGAATTAACCAAATGTGGTTGTGAATGAGGGAGATAATGATTGGTAGACTGGGCATAACTTAAGAACAGTAAATCGTATAATAATAGTCTATGGATCAAAATAAAGCTCATAATAACAGGGACATGAATATGAACAGTTTAGTTGTTTAAAAATTATACAATAAAAATATACGTGCAGTATTAGTTCAGAAATAGATCTCAACAGTTACTATTCATTATTCTTATTGGGATATAATACTTATTATTTGGTGAATTAACAAACTTGAAAAATAAACTATTTAATCAGGGTTCAATGTATAGTTTTTAAATGTACATAATAGTACCTCTTTCTTAAACTACTCAATGGAGTGTTTTTTTTATGCAATTGACATAACCGAAAATGATCATGGATCATTCTCGTGTTATGTATATATATATACATATATCTGACGAAAAGGTTATATTGGCATAGTAGAAAAAAGTATACTATAGACCAGCTGAAGATTAATCAAATTAGTTATACTGAAAACTTGAAGCAGTTGTGTTAAAAATACAAATTGCGCTTTAAATAGTTCGGTCTGAAAACATGGGTCTGTTAACTAGTCCACAAACACACAAACTTTATGGTTCGAAGCTAATAACGAAATTGTATGACATGTTGTCATTTGTATAAATGTACACAGGAAACTATGATCCTGAATTAAATTGGAAACTTATGACAAAATTTTGGATCGAGATGTTTCTAAGAATTACTGAGAACATGTAGAACCAGAGTACTTAGTTCAGTTTTGTTATATCTAGAGCTTATATTCTTGCTATACGACGTACAGCTTGAGCATTCGAACACTAGAACTCTCCAAGTCGAAGGTTGGAAGACAGCAGATGAGTGAGGAATCCTATTCCAAACAGTGTCAAATATAATACAAAACACTAAGGTATTTATATCTTTTTAGTGAGAACGAAATCATCATTACAGTCTTCTAATCCGCATGCAGTGGCTCTTAGCACTTGTTCAATCGGGAAGCTACACGTCGATATTCTGGAACATTCTTCCAAAAGATGATTGGATGGAATGCCTTCAGCTCCTTCTGAGCTTCCTTGAGTTCACCGGGGGCTGTCCCCACAATTGTGTAACAAGTGAACATATCAGCCTTGATCCGATCTATAGTCCTATATTTACTAAGATGACTCAATTGCGTGATCAGGCGTCGAATAATCAAACTAGTCAACTAGAATCTGAAAGCACATGAAGAAAATAAGATGTAACAATAACCAGTCACAGACAATGCCCTCGGGACCGACTGATTTAGCGCTTTTGGAAAAAGTTCAGTTTTGCTTCAAGTTTACATTAATGTTTATAAACACTGCACATGTCATGATATATCAGATTCAACACTGTTTAAATGTAACCAGTCACATATGACTATCAATTAGATTATAAATAACTATCATCGTTGATTATCAGTAGTTATCCCTATTGAAATTTTGCCATTGATTCAGTAATAAATCTTATTTTATCATTATAGTGACGCACGAAAGGTCAGTTGAAACCAAAAGCTGTTTTGGCTTTTCAGAAATACCAATATGTATGGATAAATAAAATAATCGATAGTTCTACAGTAAATCATGATTTGTTTACATTAAACTCACTTGCAAGGTGATGAACACAACAACAGTCTACCCTCAAAGTAATCAAGAATAACAATAACAGACTAAAAATGGCGTAAACAAAATTTTTTAACTAATAGGGGAACAATTAGTTGATAGGACTAATTTATGGACGAACCAATGGGATTTGATAGAGTGAATTCGGGATTCTTGGAACAAATTCACCCATAAAATTCCAACAATCTAGCTGATGTCGTTTCGTGATGAAAAACTTAACTCTATTTCTTAGCCTCAACTTTTAATCCTAACTGTTAATTCTATTCCCACCATATTCATTTATTACCTTATTAGTAACCTATTTAGGACTCTCACAGTTAGTTATTCAATAGTTAATTTAAGCAGTAAAACGAGCCAAAAGAAAAATACACTAACTACTCCTAAGTATAAATTCACTTGGTATTGTTTTACTTGTATCTTCCCACTGGGATGCAGGCACATCCAGCTGACGAGTCCCAAATAGGACGAAACGCGCGTCCTGGATTCCACTGCTAGCCACTATCCATCTTTACTCTTGAGTATATTTAAAATACAAGAATCTTACGACCTAAATAATTTTTGTTTCTATACATAAGGTTTTTAAATTCTCGTCAAATTTATCAAGTGAACCACTATTAACACTTGGTGAACGTTTTAAACCTGGTTCAAGTGAAAATCAATTTTGTAAACCAACGGACGTAGTAGTTTCTTCAAATGGACAAGTTTTTATCTCTGATGGGTAAATAAATCTAGTTATATTTCCCCTTTATAAATGTTTTTTTTTCTTTAATGAAAAACAGTTGTCTGGTACCTTGGATATAGATTTTTAAAACACTCAATTTAGTTTTGATTTAGTCAACTACATAGAGTCACAAGTACTTTCTCTACAGATACACACACACACAATACAATACAATGTCGTACCAAGTCGAATACAAGACATTGCACTTAGTTGACTATTGAATTGCATTCAAATAGACTAGATAAGTTTATTAAAATTTAAACCGAGTGTGAACAACAATCGTAGTGAACTAGTACGAATTTTGTAGTATATCTCAAAACTAAGTTGTAAATTTTCGATTAACATTTTATATATGTCACTGCTCTTGATAAAAACTGCTCTTGTTTTGACCATCCCTTTCCTAACCACGAAGGGAGATGCTCACTAAATCGTTGTATTAAATGTCTGGTTGTGCGCCAATATAGCTTTCTCCACAGGAGCAACTGAATTCGTAGATACATATGAAAATGGAAAAACACGGTAACTTATACTTTGGTTGAAGAATAACTATAAGTCATCTCAGAAGTGACAGACATCGGTTATTGGCATCAAATGGCCTGTTCATTGCTTGTTAGTACATCACTAGCTATATCTCCATTGAATTGTAGCCTTAGGAAGATAGGTTTCTTACTATCTGTTTATGCCTCTATCTTCCTGTTTACTTTATGCAAATGTTTCTCCGAAAACCATGTGGATAACCCATATCAGTTAACACTCTACGAATGAGCTCTAGTTTCTTGTTTATGGTGAGCCAATTAGTTGGCGAACACCTTCTTTGTCATTACGATAGGGTATAATCAAAACAATATGTGGCTCTGTTCTATCGCACTTGGTCGATAGTGGTCATGTAATAGATAGAAACAAATAATTTAAAAACCGCTTTTGTTTATATACATCGTAGTAAAATTTAAGTTTTTGAATTTCTTGTTAACTATCCATCTATTCTATCTACCGTATTACTTTCATTTGTGTATGTGTTAGCTGTAATCGTTGGTCTAATGTGTTGAATATGAAGATAGATTAAATTTCAAATGAACAGTCTCTGACTACTGAAATATTTATATGACTTCATGACTGTCAAATTCCATTTGGCACTAAGACTCTGCAAACTACTTATTTCAGTAATGATCCAACTTATTACAAGTATAAATAAAATATATTTAACAAAGAAATAAACGCAAACTTATTAAGCTAATCAGTTAAAGTGAAACGCTAAATACTGATTCGGCAGCTTGAAGGTTATTAACTCGTTGAAAGACCTAAACATCTTGATCTCCATTTCCTGGTGGATTCATGGGTATGCACCACTGTGGGATTTCGTTTTAAGATGAAACAATTATTCAATGCTTCCTAGTTTTCAGTGGTTATCTAATTAAGGTCGGTGTGTGATGTGAACTATTTTTTTTTCAAAAAAACTTCCAGGATTTCATACAAGTTGTGTTTCTAGTTTTCTGAAGTGAAATGTTTTTATAAAAAAAAGATTCTTTTACTTTATCTTACACAACATAGAATAGGACGAAACGACCGTCTAGTGCTACCAGGTTTTCCATGGTGGTCTAGCTTCAGCTGACTCCTGATATCAGCTATTGAAATTACTACAATATCCACAAAACCCCTTTTGATACTAAACAACATATACTCACTAGTGACGGTCTCCAAGAGGTATTTCTTGGAGTTCTAGGGAGAAGCAGTGATCGGAAGAATTCAACTGGGTCTGTTGTGAGATAGCAACTGAATGAAGACAATGGTGGATGTGTCGCTCAATTTCGTGGATTGGTTGAAGTTAGACATTTACACTGTTAGATGTCGGCTCAGTGGTCTAGTGGTTAAGCGCTCGCTCGCGAGGCCGGATGGTGGATGAGCACTGCTAAGGAGTCCCACAATGGGACGAAACGGCCGTCCAGTGCTTCCAGGTTTTTCACGGTGATCTAGCTTCAATTGACTTATGATCTCAACCATTGAAATTACTACAATATCCACAAAACCCCTTCTGATATTTTAAATTTATCAACCTTTATTAGGTATTGTAATAATCGGATTGTGAAATTTAATGAAAATGGAGAATTTCTAAAATCATGGGGCTACGAAGCAAAAGGTAATTGAAATTATTGTTTTTATTGTTAGTTTATTTTATTTTATTTGAACACATAAATATTGGTACAATGAGGCGCCAAATACATATGCGCCACACAAATACCATTCGATATGTGTGAGGGCTGTAATACTGCCCGGGTGCCCAAACCGAAGCAGGTAATTTTCTTAGGGGGCCACAACCCGAGCCTTCGACCTGAAGGTCTGATCCACAAGGCAGTGGAGCAACGTTAGGAGATTCAGTCCAGTGGTAGCCGGTGACCAACGATTGGTTCATACGCCATTTGTTCCTTCAGGATACTGGGGACCATGTGCACCATTGGTTTGGGATCCGGTTAAAGCACCGGACATTCGCTTTCCGTCCTCTCAGTTTCGTAAACAACACCCCCGCTATGAGAGTGCAGTGAATAGGACTTCCCTGGCAGATTCTGTATACGCGTGACCATGTGAGAGAATTTCGAGAGAGAGGGAGAACCCACCCCGCTCTCGGCCATACCAGGGCATTTGGGGGCTAAGTGTCCATAGCACAAGGCCTCGTCTCATTAAAAAAGTAATATTTCCAATGAAAATGATCGATCATATCAATACGTTGTTTCCTAACGGGGCTTGATCATGCCTACTATATTATAACAGAAGCTAAAAGGATTAGAATCTATAGCCTAATCCATGTATTCAGAAGAAACTTATAACACCCTTTTTCTCCCTTGGTCGGATAGGGGTTAACAAGTGATTTACTGGTTAATATTATTAGTAATATTCATATCTTTTGTTCTTTTTTTTCATCCTTTTTTCAAATATATTCTTCACTGTCTAATTGTTAACAATGATCACTCTAATGTCTGCTTTTTCCAATTTTTTTGACCCACTTCTCGTGTTAAAACATTAATTTAAGCCCTTATTATTTCTATGACAACTGGTAGAACTATCATCACATTTTGCTTATTATAGTTTAGTTACGTAATTTCTAAAACTATATTATGGTGACGAACTTCAGACGGCCAATTAGATTCGAAACAGTATCTATACACTTTGTGCAACATTCAAAACGTAGTGAAGAATAAGATGCATCTTATAAAAAAAATAGATATAACTTGTTCATAATTAGTTTTAAATAGTATGTCTTACTACCGGTGGAAGTGGATAGGACACACATTAAGGAAAGCATCCAACTGCGTCACAAGACAAGCTCTCACATGGAATCCTCAAGGCCAAAGGAAAAGAGGAAGACCAAAGTACACATTACGCCGGGAAATGGAGATAGATATGGGAAAAATGAACAAGAATTGGATGGAACTAGAAAAGAAGGCCCAGGACAGAGTGGGTTGGAGAATGCTGGTCAGTGGCCTATGCTCCATTGGGAGTAACAGGCGTAAGTAAGTAAAGTAAGTAAGTACTACCGGTACGCTTAAACTGCCTTCCTAGCCAGTTCCAATATTTACAACTACTCTCACATGTTAACTGGAACGCTAAAGGGAAGGCGAGAAGTATGAAAAGAACGCTTTACTCGAAGGTTTGTTTATTTACAGAAAAACAAGAGTATTTATAGAGTTACATACCGCCTTGAGCTTCACTAATTTCCGAAACTATACTAAATATAGTAATACAAAAAGGTAAATACCCAATCAAAACTGTAGCACGTGATTCTGCATTTTCGAGGTGTTTCCACAAAGATACTATTCAACGTTGATTGAATAAAACATTTCTTGACGATCATGGGCCTCCTGGGTATTTTTGAGACTTTAACATTAAAGTTTTAGTCTCCAATAATTGTTTATATTCAACCACACAATCATTTAGACATGATGCGTAAGCTAAATTGATAGAAATACTCATCTGAGCGTCTATGATATGATTCATGGACTAGTTCGGCATGTTTTTGTGGGATTATGAAGTAGTCTCAAATGCTCACTTCATATTCTAAACATAGTACTGAGTACTATAACTCTCCTGACCCTTTTAATCCTAACCCTAACACTAAACCTTAACACTTCTAAAAGCTCACTCCCAACTCTGATTCTTGACTTTAACCGGACACCTAACCATTAAAAGCTAACTTTTCTTTTCTTAATTATGTTAGGAGTATTTATCTACCATAAATTTCTCATATTCCACCATAAGTTTCATCGTATCTAAACATTGTCCCCTAGTGACTCAGCAGGTTAAGCGTTCACGCGCGAGACTGAAGGCCCTGGGTTCGAAACCCGCGATCGAGATTGTGGATGCCCACTGTTGAGGAGTCCCGTACTGGGACAAATCGGTCGTCCAATGCTTTCAGGTTTTCAATGGTGGTTTAACATCAGTCGGTTCATGATCTCCACAACCCCTATACTATTGCTTTAAATTCTAATGTATCATCACCCATTGGGCTGCTTATTTCTAATACCAACTAACTTTTTCAAATAGTTTGAAGTTATACATGTAAGGATTCATATTTTCTCGCGAATTATCAGTCTCTCGGAGACTATGTGGATTTCACCTCGTCCAGCTTAAATCTCAGTGTGAACATCAATACTAGTGTACACTGGTGTACAACAAGCTGATATGCTCGTAAACGGAAAAATGCAAATCATTTAATTATACTTTGAATGACTGAATTGTGTTTTTAATTCCAATGGGACATTGGAGTTTAAGTTTAAGGTTCACTGCTTAAATTTCTGAGAAATTTTAAATTACTATAAAAGTGTATAAGAACGTTGGAGAGATTGTTGAATTTGGTAGTTTCTATCACGGATTCACTCTAGTCAAACAACCATTAGCACTCAAGAAGCACTACACAGGTGCTTTGTCCTAGTAATCCATAGGAACTCTTCCAATAGGGATTAAACCTAGGGTCTTTAAGTCACTCTACGAGCGCTTAACATTTAAGCCACTGAGTCGGCATCCATTGGTTTAAATTAAAACTTCAGTCGATCCGTGATATTCAGAAATTATCTCCTAGTTAAGGTCATTTCATAGTTTTGATTGGTTAAAGTAGTTTTTCAATTCATGACGATTAATTGCCTAAAACGTTTTAAGATAATTTCTTGATGAGAAAGTGACATTTATGCTTACGTTGAATCTTTTCACTGTTCATGATGATATCCAGCTTAACGGTGAGACTAATTTTTGTTCAGGTTCAAAAAGCAGTTGCATTGTGTATAGAAAACATGATAGACGATGCTTTTCTGTTTTCGTAGTTCTAATTTGAAGCTGTAAGCAGCAGTGGAGTTCAATAAGATCAGAAATTTGTATGGATAGCCCTGATGACAGTGGATAATAATTGCACGATATAGCGAATGAATTAAAGCTGGGAATACGAAACATTGAGATACAATTCAATGATCGAAATGGTAACTTACTCAAGATAAAGATTCGCTTGTCTACTGGAGGGTGATTCTAAATCGGGAAAAAGCGATTGTGCCCCAGTGATCCTTGATTATCAATAATAACTTAGATGTGATCACTTCATGAAACGAAGATCTTCGAGAAGCATCCTACCTGTGGCTACTCATTATTAATTCAGTAGTGTATAATTCTTTATGTAATTTACGGATGTTGTAATTTTTTTAATATTTTTGAAAGATTCAGAATCTCCAGGACCATATGATTTAAATATTCCGCATCAGTTATCTTTATTGGAAGAAGAAGATGCAATATGTGTGGCAGACAGAGAAAACAAACGTATTGTATGCTACATAGCTGGTTTATATTCGACAACATCAGATAGTACCGGTGATTATCTATTTGAGTACAAACAACCAGAGATGAGAGCAATCTATGGCATCGCCATTGAACCTTCAAGTATGTTATTATCTTGAATCTTTTTCACATGTTCTATGATTGAATCACTAGATATATTCCATTAAATTAAATATTGTTAACGCTTTGTAGACTACTGGACTTGATTTTGACCAGTGACACTCTTATACCGACGATAAATAATCTCGTGTAATGACTGAGAGAATTCGTATGGTTGTTAGTCTATAAAGTAACTTCCCTCTAACCCGGTGTCGAGTTATGAAGCGAACTTAGAAAGCGGATAAGACTCCTACTACATACTTATCCATTGTAACTGAAAGCTCACGTTGTAATATCGGTTAAATACCTAACTACATAGTAACATAAACAGGAAATTACAAGGTATATATTATTTATTTTAACACATAGATATTGGTACAATGAGGCACCAAATACATATGCGCCACACAAATACCATTCGATATGTGTGAGGGCTGTAATACTGCCCGGGTGCCCAGACCGAAGCAGGTGGTTTTCTTAGGAGGCCACAACTCGAGCCTTCGACCTAAATGTCTGATCCACAAGGCAGTGAGCATCGTAAGGAGATTCAGTCCAGTGGTAGCCGGTGACCAACGATTGGTTCATACGCCATTTGTTCCTTCAGGATACTGGGGACCATGTGCACCATTGGTTTGGGATCCGGTTAAAGCACCGGACATTCGCTTTTCGTCCTCTCATTTCCGTAAACAACACACCTGCCATGAGAAGTCAGTGAGTAGGACTTCCCTGGCAGAGGCTGTATACGCGTGGCTGTGTGAGAGTATTTCGAGAGGGAGAGCGTACTCTCCCCACTCTCGGCCGTACCAGGGCATTTGGGGGCAATTTATGGAATGTAAAACATATGAGAGTAGTTTACGCGTCAACTGAAATCCTACGATATAGGGAATACAACAATACAATAATCTCAGTATTTAATAGTTGTTTAATAAAAGTATGAACAATCATTTTCGATGAAATCATTTGCTTAAGCTGAACATTCGTATTTATAGTTGTTTAGTAAATATATGTGTCTATGGAACGATAGAAAAGACTGAATCATGATCTGGTTCAGTGGACAGTTACGTATCATAATTCTGACCCGTAAATTTTTCTCATCCTCCCATTCTTCTCTAATCACCTGATTATTACACATCCCCATTTGGCATTCGAAATCTCGAATCAGTTTATGTTGCAATCTTTTTTTTCATCTAGGATTGATAATTATAAGCAAAGATAGATGGTGCCTAGCAGTAGGGTGGAGGGTGAGAGTTTCGTCATATTTGGGGCTCATTCAGGAGTGAACATCAACTCCAGGATGCATCCATCTAAAGATGAGTCTCAAATAGAACGAAACGTGTCACGATTTGATCGGTACACAATCTAACTTCACAGAATAAAATTACATACCAAACATTAAAATGGGGAGTGTAAATAAATGAATCATTACAAGAATCAATTATACTTTTAATAAAGATAGACTTTTCAGTGATTAGCAGTTCGATCAAGATAGACCACACCTAGTTCTGACCGAGTCAAAGTGGCAGTTGTTTAAGTGTGCAAGATAGTGGATGCGTACTGCTGAAATGTCCCATACTAGGACGAAACGGCCGTCCAGTGTACTTTCAAATTTACAATAGTAATCTAACTTAGATCGACTCATGAACCCATCTATTAAAATATTATTGATCAATCCATTTATGGACTATAAAAAACATAGAACATCATCAATATTGACATAAGCAATTATCTGAATTGTGAAAATACATTTTCATCATTACAAATTAACTATTTACTTGTATTCTCTAATTCACCTCACTACATATTTGTACATATATATATCAACTATTTTCTTTAGCTAAATTAATATTTGCTCTTGTGGGCTCTACACCTAATGAAGATAATTCATACGTGGAAATTATTGATTTTAATTCACAAGAGTTAATTGGGGAAATCAGAAATCAATGGAAAACAGTAAGTTATTATTTTAAAAAAGAAAAAAAAGTCCAGATTATTAGTTTCTTATCGGTGGTTTTGTTCAAATATACATTGTCCAAGAGTTGATACTGACATACATTCAACCTATATATTTATCTATTCGGACACATAGATATTGGTACAAGGGGGAGGGGCTGTGATACTCCCCGGGTGCCTGAACCAAACCAGGTGGTTTCCGTAGGAGGCCACACCCAGAGTCATCGACCTAAAGATCTGATCGACAAGGCAGTCCCATGGTAGCCGGTGACTAACGACTGGTTCATACGCCATTTGTTCCCTCAGGATACTGGAGCCCATGTGCACCGTTGGTTTGGAATCTGGGTTTTCCAACTCCCCTAGGTAAACTCTGCGTGTCCACCAACCCGGTTAAAGCGCCGGACATTCGCTTTTCGTCCTCTCAATTTCGTAAACAGCACCCCCGCCACAAGAAGTCAGTGAGTAGGAGTTCCCTGGCAGAGGCTATATACGCATGGTCATTTGAGAGAATTTCGAGAGGGAGAGCGGACTCTCTCCGCTCTCGGTCGTATTAGGACATTTGGGGGCCTACCTATATATGAGCCTAACTGGCTACTGGAATGAAAAGACAGATTGAGAAAGGAAATTCATGGACCATACCAAATCTACCATATATGTGGTCATTCACCAATACCAAACGCCACATTCTTTAGAAACACACGTCATTTTGCTCAATACTCGAAAGTACTTGATCAGAATGATTTGTTACCAGTTTCTAAAATTATCAGATCATTGAAAGTAATCAGGATGAAACCCTAAATCTAAATCTTATTTTAATCTACACTTGTCTTCAAGAAATGCCTTTAATCCTGACTATATGGATCATATGTATCAATTCTAGTGAACTAAAGACTATGCAATATTGAAAAAATGATCAAGTCATACAGAACACAATCATTTCTGACGATTCGTAGGAAAAAGTTTGTGAAAATTATTTCTCAATTAGTCAATTATTGAAGGTTAATCTTGTTAAATTGAGTTTTTCCCCCATCATATATTGATACTTTTACTGATATCGATCGATAAGTAAGTATTTCATTTATTTACGGTTCTAACTTTCATCATTAAGCATAATACTGATAGGTCCTGAGTTCGAATCTCGCGGGGCGGGATCGTGAATGTGCACTGTCACTGAGGTGTCCCACAATAGGACGAAACGGCCGTCCAGTGCTTCGAGGTTTTCCATGATGGTCTAGCTTCAATTGACTCATGATCTCAACAATTAAATTATAATATCCACAAAATCCCTCTTTGATTAAACTATAATACTATTGAAATATTTCATTATTTTCTTTTCAAGGGATTCGGTAATGTGCATTCTATAACAACATGTCCATACAACAAAGGAATAAGTTGTATACTATTCTGTAATACAAATTTACCATCACAACTAAATCAGCCGGTATTATCAAATCAAACTCAAAGAATTAAAAGTATTTCTAAATATCAAGAAGATTTCAATCATGAACAAATTGAACGACGTTTATGGCTTTATCATTTACGATTTAACTCTGAATACAATTATTAGATGAATGAAATCATGTTATCAATGTTATAATGGAATAGTAATGATAGTCAACACAAATATATGATTTAAACAAATCACTATTTTATGATCTTCTTTATTGACAATGTTTTGATTGGTCCATACTAACCAATCAGAACCCCGAAATTGCACCATTTTAGCTCCTTTCGTATGGTACTGATAAATCTTATAAGGGAACGCTTAAATCAGTTTCCTAAGATCTTCCAATAACATCAGGCTAAATCTACACGATGAATCGAACACGAAAAAAAGGCATGAAATGTATAAAGAACGCTTTACTCCAAGCTTAGTTTACGTACAGAAAATCAAGGGTATTTATAGCATTTCAGATAGCCTTGGTCTTCTGGAATCCCACTAAAAATAGTAACAGGATAGGTGACCATCCAGTCAGAGATGTGACACGTGACTCTTCATTTTCTAGATGTTTCTGAAGAACTATTGAATGCTGGTTGGATAAAATGTTTCCCAGCGATAGTAATATCTCATAGTAACACACTTAGGGGTATTATGATTGTGGATCGTTAGACGATATAAATCTCTAGTAAGATTGAGTACGGCTAACATTGCTCAGCTACTTAATAGTAAACTATATAGTGATGCATTTTACTGAGAGGTCAATTACTATTTTAAAAAGGGAAAAAATAGGTAAGAACCTCATGTATTTCTAGGTTTACCGCTTTTTGTATGTTTCAGATTATACCAAACGCTTATTTGCAAAATGTAAATACAAACTGTATCCTATTTAACTAGGAAAAATCATACTCAACTCTATCCCAGCCAACAAACTTCATCAATTAGAATTACTTGATAGATTGTGTGATTAGATCTTTTGAAACCTTGCACAACTCTTAAATAAACAGCCTAAAAGACCTGAAGAGATAATTTAGGAATAGCTGGAAGATTATTATCAATCTAAAAACTTAAGCGTGACTATCGTAACCAATGATTGGAGACTCTTGGTGACATGGCTCAGAATCGATCACAATGGCATCGGTGTATACACTCTCTGTATTCCCTTAAACTAAGAGATTAAAATTGCTTCATATCTTTCTTTCTATGAACTAATTCTTTCTTCCTGTCCTATGTCCTTATTGCAATCTTTCTTTTATATACTACCACCTCTGAATTAACTACTTTTATGAATTTGGTGTTCATCTTGTTGTGTTAATGAGGTATGGCAACTTGGACCGATGCATATATGTGCCTGGTCCCACGTTGTAGCTGACTGACTAGCATAATGTAACTGCATGGCAAAAATAGTTATTAGAGAAACTTTCTTATAACATGAAAATCGTTTTCTTACCATAACAATTAATTTGAATACTTGTAACTTAATGGCAATTATCGAAACAATCCGCATAAAATACACATATCAATAAGAGACTAATTAATTGTAGTAATGAGATGGTGGAAGTTTGTAGGTCGAGTCGATGATTTTGATAGTTTTATTCTCAAAGTTGGATAGTTTGATCATGAAGATTTTATTGTTATCCACGATTAAATCATCCAATTCAGAGAATAAAACTTTATCGAAATTGTAATAGTCCTGAGCATCAATGAGAAGATTCACAAATCTAAATATAATTTCAATGGTTAAGATCATGAGCCAGTTGAAGCTGGACCACCATGGAAAACCTGGAAGCATTGGAAGGCCGTTTCGTCCTATTGTGGGACTCCTCAGCAGTGCGCATTCACGACCTCGCCCCTTGCGAGATTCGAACCCAGGACCTACTGGTTCCACAAAACCCATCTGATATTAATCAACATATGCTCACTAGTGATGGTCTCCAAGAGGTATTTCTTGGAGTTCTGTTGAGAAACAGTGATCAGTGGAATTCAACTGAGTCTGTTATGACATAGTAACTCACTGATGACAATGGTGGATGTGTCGCTCAATTTCGTGGATTGATTGGAGTTAGACATTTACACCGTTGGATTCCGGTTCAATGGCCTAGTGGTTAAGTGCTCGCGCGCGAAACCAGCACTTCTTGGGTTCGAATCTCGCCGGGGGCGAGGTCGAGGATGCGCACTGCTGGGGAGTTCCACAATAGGACGAAACGGCCTTCCAGGTTTTCCATGGTGGTTCAGCTTCTACTGACTCATGATCTTAACCATTGAAATTACTATAATATCCACAAAACCCATCTGAAACTAAATATGAGTGTAAATGTTCATAAGAATGTATATTTCACTTGTTGAAATCATGAGTCAATTGAAGCTAGAGCACCATGAAAAACCTGGAAACAATGGACGGCCGTACTGGGACGAAACGGTCGTCCAGTGCTTCCAGGTTTTCTATAGTGGTGGTCTAGCTTCAATTGACTCATGATTTCAATTAGTGAAATTTTTTGAAATCTCCACAAAACCCATTCTGATAAAAATATATACATATTTCTTTTTTACATATATGTACATGTAATTATTAAAACAAAATAAATCAATAATTCATAATTCATCATTAACTCATTATTTAGAATAGTTTCCTTTTATCAGGTGACAAGATATCATTTGTATATGATTCCTGTTTAAGTAATATATCAGTTACATTATTTAAACAAGTTTGTAATGATTTAGTTTGTTCATTGGATCCAGTAACAACAGTATTATTATCACTATTATTATTATTGTTTGACTGATGATGAATAGACATAATCATTGAATGAATTTGTAATAACAATTCTGGACATCCATAAACAGTCGCTGCAAAACGAAGTCGATTTAATTCCTGTAAAGAAAAAGAACAACAACATCAGATTGAACAGTGAGAATTTGTTTTTCATGTAGATGTTGGCATACAAAGTCAATAGTTTCCGTTAAACGTACACTGGTGAACAGGGAAGCAATATCTAGAGATATCATCTGTTTCCTATTTAAGTTCATATGTTCCACTTTAGAAATGAAATCGAAGACGTCTTCCATGCTTTTGTTGACGACTAGTTTGTGTAAGGGGTCTAGGATTCGATCTAACCACTTTGCAGTTTTATGATAAGGCGAATTATACATATCTAAAACTGGGCTAAGAGGAAGACAGCCATTCTGCTCACCGCTTTCCTCTTTGTCGCAGTCTGTGCCCCGCTCCTCGTCGAAATGTTGAGTACACCGGCGCGCTGACCTGAATGGTTATACAAAACTAAATTAACCCTAATCAAATTCAAAATTATGTGCTTAGTTCACAATAATTGCACCTAATTAATCATTAGCAGCAGGCAGGTTGATCGATTTCACTTAATTATTCTTCAAAAAATTACACAATTAATTAAAACAACGAATTTACTTACTTTATAAAGTAATGCAGATTTATCCGGCAGGCGCCGACTTAGTCGAAGCACTTTATTAATATCCATAAGCATTGCTGACTGTGATGCCCAAGAAACATAACGTGAACCATCTTTATTAAAACATTTTTTTTGAAAAAAAAGAGTTAAAAACGAACCTCCTGATCATTATTATCACTATAAATCAGATAAACTGTTGAATGAGAAATGAGTGATAGAAATGAAAGTTAGATAAGGAGTGTTGAGGAGATCTTCGAATAAAGCCCAGAGGGATCCTGTAAAACGCTAGGAAACATTCTATCCAATCAGCATCCAATAGAAGTTTCTCAGAAACATCTATAACCCAAGGCCATCTGGAATGCCATAAATACCCTCGATTTTTTGTACGTAAACTAAGCTTGGAGTAAAGAGTTTCTATACACTTCACGCCTTTTCTTTCGTGTTCGATTTGTCGTGTAGATTTAGCTTGGTGTTACTGGAAGAACTTAAGAAATACATTCAAGAGTTCAGTCATAAGATTTATGAAGGAGCTAGAATGAATTCAAGTTATTCAATATTTTGTTGGTAAATATCAATTTCTTTTCTGTGACGATAACTGAAATAACGTTTTTCTAAACTACATTTGTATAAGGAGGGTTGTTTGTGGAGATTATAGATTTCAGCTAGACATCACCATTAAAAAACTGGGAAGCACTGGACGGCTGTTTCATTCTCGAATAAGACTACTCAACAGTCCTCACCCACGACTCCGCATCCGAGAATTCCCACACTAAGGTGGAACGGCCGTCCAAGGCTATCAGGTTTCCGGTGGTTGTTTAACGTAGATTGGTTTATGATTTAAAAATATGATAATCCGTATTTCCCTATGATCTTTATTTCTTTCGTACTGTTTGTTGACACCGTTAGTTTGCATATATATATATATATATATATATATATATATATATATAGAGAGAGAGAGAGAGAGAGAGAGAAGAGAGTTGCTCTAATTCAATTTCTTTGTTGAATTTCAGATATTTTCCTCACTCTCGACTTTTTTTTAAGTCTCCGCTTTTAGAGATTATTGTTAAAATGTTACGTATGTCAGTTGCTGTATTGTCAAGAGCGCAATAACTTTCATTGTAATAAAACAATCTTAATTATTCGTAATCGGAAATTATCGTAGGTCAAACTGAACCTAATTTCGAAGTAGTTTCCAGAAGTTTAACATTGGGCGAGTCATAAAAATCACTATTTCAAACCAAGTTATGCAGACTGGTTTTCAGGATGTCACAGAAGCAAATTGTGTACAGATCGAATATGGACACCAGTCATAAGTTAGATTAACTGAAAGGGCTGATACTATGTCAAGCCCATATAAGTTATACTGGACAGATCAATCTGTTCATTCTTCTCAAGCCCCATTTTCACCGTCACTCATTCGCTTATCGACCTTGACTGTTTTTATATAAGCGTATGTGTGTATTTTTCTTATCTTACTCATAATATATGTCTGTAGCTACATTGAGTTGGCTCACTCGCCCTCTCCACTCTGCATCCTTTCGTTTCGCTCTGCTCTCTCCTCTTCGCTACGATTTTCTGATTGCCTGTTCGGATCAACGGTTGTATAAAATATACGTATTCAAAACTCCATTCTCGTGTTTGACTTATCTTAATTCCGTTATTCACTAAGTCATAATTGTATACGAGGATTGGCGGAATATGTACTTCGATAACAAGTAGCAATCTACCTGGAGTCAGATCTTGGGCCAATAAAGACAGTATATGTAGATGTTATAGTAACCCAGTTCAATGAGTTTTGCGAGTGTTTAAACACTTGATCTGTACGATAGACATGTATGATTGTTAGTCAACTCCTAGCCTATCTAATGTATAATTGTCCACATTCATATCACACAAATCTGATTAGCCATTGCACAATACAGATTGAGAGAAAAATAAGCCAGAGGAATAATAAAATAGTGTAAACACATACCAATTTTATAACTCAAATGATCCGGTGTTCGAACAGGGAATGGTGAAGTTTCATTTTTATCATCGTATAATTGAGAACCGGCAAAATCTGTTACAGGTGCTAAATGACTAAAATTACCAAGCCAAGGTAAACCAGTACATTCTGAAATAATAAAAAAATGCCATTGGGAAATGAAACAGTTCAAAAACAAAAAAGGATCAATTAATTGCTGGGGGATAACACATTCGTTATTTCATATATTGATTTAAGTTGATCTTTGTCTAGTCAACTTTCAAAGCATTTTCATGATTTATATGCATTAACTCTAAGTGTATATCGATTGTATCTAGTTGTTTGATTCATGTTGGGTTTTCCTTATAATGATTATTTCACTACGATTCCCCATTCACAGCAACAATCGTTTAGTTTGATAACATTCTGCAATATATATGACTGAATTAAAGTGGAGATTGGAGGTAGTCGACAAAATACCCTACTTGACCTAGGTTTTGTACTATCTGAGACGTGATGCCAAGGTGTGCTTGTAATCCTGAGAGAACTAGTGCTTCCTGATGGATTCGATCCCGTATCACTCAGCTTTACGGTCACATACGTTACTACTCAGCTCTTTGGGCCACGACTGATCTATGATGTATTTAAAATGATTGAACACTGAGCAGTGACTAATTCATTCATTCATTCATTCATAAGGTTAAATAGTATTTTAGCTGATCTCAGTTCGTGATGAAGACCGTAACTCCAATTCTTAACACTAACTTCGAACCATAAACGCCGATTCTGATTTCTCACGCTATTTTATAACCCACTTTAGACCGTAATGGGTTAGTGAATTTTACCAAGGTCACTTCGGTCGTTCGTAAATTATGGTCTCAACCTTTATGTATTCAGATTTCTGCTTAAAATCTATATGTAGAAACCTTTTGAGGACTGTGAAGAGGTTAAAAAGTCGATCAATGTCGAGGAGTTTAAATATTAGATTTATCAAAATATTATCAAATTATTTGGATTAATAACAACAACAAACCTCGTTCAAATACTGACAACATTAAAATTGATTGCTTCATATCAATATGATGCAAATAACCATGACTCCAAAGAGTATGGTTCGGTGAATTTTTACCAGACTGTTGTTGTTGAAGATTACGTTTAGATGAATTGTGTGAATCCAACACTGAAACTGTACTTGAATTGATTGACTGAGCTAATTGATTATTCATTACAATATAAATATTACACATGGCAACAGTTTTTGTATTTTGTAATGATCGCAAAAGTAGGTAGAGAAGATCAGGATCAGATGGATCTAGTAAAATCAATATTGTGTAAGTGATAAGAGACAACAGTAATAATAATAATAACAGCAATGGTAAGAGTGATGATAATAATAATAATGAAACAATTATGTATTTTTGATACAATGGCAAAAGTATGCAATACCGACGACCTTTAGCGACTTTGGGGATGGTCTTGAAAAACAACCAGTCCGAATCCAGCTAAATGCAAAGGAATGTCAAAATCACAGAGATTTAGGAGCATTGATATGATTAATGAATCTGAAAACTTCCAAACTCTAGAACTCCTAGACCTTCAATCTATACAGTACTGTTACCACTACACTACAAAAACACGAGCTATATCTGCTAGAGCTGAAGCAGTCGTGACTTGGGTTCCGATAATCCATTTAAACATTAAAACCATTATTTTCCAGTGACAGATTTGACTCACCAAAGAATGTACCATGGTCTATAGATTTCTTCGACCAGTATCCTCTGCAGCGTAAAATAATCTCGTCCCTTGAGTCTTCAATCTCCAGACATCTCATTTCCTGACCTGTTAGCAGGACATAGACTTGATTAAAGCATGCTCAATGCATGATTGCTTTGGTGCCCGCTGATTGGCTAATTCTTATTCAATCAGCACTACTCGATAGTTGGAGAATACTCTGGAATCTTCTTATGTGAAAACTATAAATATACTGACGTTTTCCCTATTGTGCTTCTGACTTGCTTCTTACTTCCATCTAACCTTGTTATTTGGAATATAATCTCTTCCTGTTCAACCGTGTTTTGATTTGGGGACTTGTCGAGTGAATCGGTGTCCGAGAATACTAAGCAATAGGAACAGCTGGGTCATAACCGTAAGGAAGAGAGATTTATAACATGACCACAATCAAATAAAACAGTTTCTCAGAAGACAGATCACCTGCAAGTGCTGTACTATTGAATCGCCTTCTAAACCGGCCTCAATGTGTAGTCTTATCAACATTATCTGTACAAGTAACAGGTTATCTGCGACTGCGTTTGAAAAATTATATATAAACCTAGAAACGTTAGCTTTAATTCTGATTTGGTTCACTGAAAGTCGTCGGTATAATATAGTCTTATTGATACTATCCCAATGAGTAGATATTTGGGCTTATAGAGTAGTGTAAGTCACTTCTTCAGAGTGAAAATAAATAAGTGAATTAAATTAACACAAGTAGTAAACATTCTAGAATTAGTCAACTTTCCCCTGTGAATATTCTTATACATATATACGTAAACGAAATGTTCTCTTATTAAACAGTAATAATAAACTGAATGAACTATTATGAATTGTAATAGAAGAAAATAGACAGAAGGAATCTATATTTGTGATGAGAAGTTACAAAGAGTAAAACATATACATGGCCTTCAAAAATCCATTTGCATCTTCCGGCGTGTTTTGCAATCTGAACTATCTTCTCGTTTAGTCTCCAAGTGTTCTGCCAACACCAAGTTTACGCTGTACTGAAACTCATCACTCTGTCCTAAAACTTCAAGGTCACGTTCCGCAACATACTATTTACAAGCAATCTTTTAAGTAGCGTCCACTACAGCATTAGTAATGTAGTCCTAATATACTGTCATAGAACAACAAGTATGACAACCTTAAATCCATACATAATTAAAGCTTTCTATAAAAATGCTTTACTTCAAATAAGAAAGATAAAATCCTTCATCATTTCGACACAGAATTATGTCAACAAACTAGGATATATATGTAGCGAAGAATTCTGGATTGAACAGTTCTCCCAAGAGATCATGACTCGTACCAAAGAACATCTAAGCTACACTAAAAAACCTTCACATATTCATGTAGACCTAGAAAAGCTACAAATCAATATTAACAATATCGAGATAACCCAAAATGGATTTTTTTTATTATAAAGAAAAACAACTGGCTGAAGCTTTCCGTATATTGCTAGATACTAGTCGCACCTGATAAGAAGGGAGGTCTAACGATCTAACATAGACGATTTATCTAAATATCCCCACACATAATCCTGTTCACATCACTAAAAAACATTTAAATATATGGCTAACTTCACTCTTCCACAATATAAATATGACATTTTTCAAACTCACTAACACATACATATACACAGCATCACCACCTTATCCGGAATGACATGTCATTGACATGATCAAACCGATTTTGATTGTACTAAAAATATTTTTTTCTCTGTATTTTTGTACGATCTAAACTTATGTTAGTGTAATTCATTTTTTGAAGAAGTGGCTTATACTAAGTCATGATAAACATTCTACTCAATACCTGCTTCGACGGGCGATGTTATCTGGTATAGTAGCGGGCAAAGCAAAACATGGCACCAGTCCATGAAGTTATTGACAATTGAAATGACCTATGTTAATGAGTATAAACTGCCTGGTCGGGTTTCGCATGATCATAGGAACCAGTAATTAGAAATTTTGAATGATATGGCTTATAATCATTTTGAACAATACAGGTGCATTCATTTTTTTGTCTTCTCTCAGATTCTAAATTTGTGTCATATCTTCGACGCCTAATACTTCTTATTACTATTAATACTGTTACTAACTCTACTATTATGAGATTTGGCCTGACAATGTCATCTCTCAGTGTTAGTGGGGTATGACAACTTGAACCAATGTACATACGTACCATATTCTGCATTGCGACTAACTGATTGACAATGCCCAGTTTATTGGAAATTATCAAGTCTAACACCAGTATTGATACGAATAATACGAATAATAATAATAATAATAATAATAATAATAATAATGGCTAATCACAATAAAGTTTAAACGACTGTTTAACAACAGCTTTTGCCTCAGTAGATCTACAGTTATTATACACATAGTATCTTAAATGAGATAGAATCCACTACCAACAAACACCACCACTGAATATCACTTAAAAATACTTAGAAAATTCCCACTGCGTAAAAACTAAGGCAGAATTTTACAAATGACTGAAATCAGAACTACTGTTGTAATTTTATCCACCGATTATTATTAATAGTATTAGTAATACTGATTTCGATACCCCTTACTTAAAACGGGTAATACGCTGAAATTGTACTTGTATTCAGTAGGAACGGTACCTCTAAACAGTTGGATTTAGAATCCAGAAACTGTTTAATCGCGATCTATGAGATGATATTTGAGTTTAACGACAACCACTCACTTAGTCCCAGACTGGTTATTACTTTAAACCTACCTACCTTGGAAACTACCAATTATGACATTGTACAAATTACACAAACATAACTAACCCTTGTTATAGGATTGATTTTGTTTTCCCTGCCATTGTTCAGAATGGAAATATCAATAAACGACCGGCCATTTTTGTATTTTTTTAATGAATTTTTTTTCACCCTTTTAAAAAAGTTTTTTCATCCCATTTCGTCCAATTAAATGGCTGGTTTTAAATTCGTTATAATTTGTTAGTTCTGTCTTAAAATTGTTATAAAATGTCAGTACTTGTCGAGAGAGTACATTTTAATCACAATTATGGAGGAGAGTAACGTGCCATGTACAAGCGCTGTTGTTTCTCATGTTGTCACAGAAACGGAGAACGTATTTTTGACTACATTGTTTCTCGTAGCGTTCCAATCAGTTGAAGCGTTAAAGTGCGCTATCAGAACTTGTAAAAGATCTACGTACTGCCATTATGTGGTGAAAGATTCTCATTTCCACAGAGATCAGAACTCTTATATAAAATTTGTATGTTGGAGAAATGGCCGTAGAACACCTAGCAGTTCGTCACAGCGGATTAGACGGAGGAGGTAATTTGATTAGTGTTATTATAATATTTTTCACGAAGGACTTCCATGAACACTCAATGTCCGGCCTTCATCTTTTGTAAGTTGATAGAAGGTTACTGGACTGTTGTACGTGGGAATGTGCATCACAATCACGAGTGCAATTCCCTGAGGTACGACAGTAATTCTTGGGTGAGCAGGTTAACGGAGGCAGAGTTTGAAACTGTGCGACCGCTCCTGATATCTAGGACCGCAGCATTCGATATTAAGCACTTTGCTTACCATTCTTATGGAAAGCATTTGAATGATCAAGATATATTTAATATGCGGTACAAAGTGTTCTCACACGCCAACCTTCCTGGTAATCAATCTGCCTATTTATAATGTAAACGATAGGTAATTACGCCAAATTAAAAGCTCATATAACGTCTTTAGGTGGGCTTTGCGAATACGAATTAGATGAAGAAAATTGTCTATCGTATTTCTTCTTCACGACTGCTGATCAAATTAATTTGGCAGCTCCTTTTTGTGATGTCATCGGTTTTGACGGGACGTACAAGACAAATAACGAGAACGTATATTTATATCAGGTAGTAGCCCTTGATATGAATTTTATGGCAATACCCGTTTGTATTGCACTTATAAGTCGCGAAACATCGACTTTAATTTTTCGATTCCTATCGTTCTTCCAACGGTCAACCAACAGTCGACAGGTGGTAGGCATTGTGACAGATGATTCACCTGCAATAGCTGCTGTCATCACGCAGGTGTATCCAAATGCCTACCACATTTTGTGTCGTGTACAGCATATTCGCAATGTCATAAAGAGGGTAAGTCTTTCGTTCCTTAACATTAATCCATTTACCGTCATTGTAGAGGGTAAGATCAGAAGTGACACAACTGTTATTTCGTCTGATGTTTACTCGAACGGTTGAAAGGTAAGTCAAAATCTACACAACATTATTTTTTAGTTTTAACAATTATTTGCAGTTAATCGAAACATCCGACGAAACGTTTTTCCGATATGTGAGAGATCACTTGCTGCTGAAAAAACAAAAGTGGTCAACTGCTTTCCGACCATCAGCGACGCTACTTCAACAAAATAATACCAACTTCGTTGAGACAACTCATCGAATTTTGAAGATGCATAAATTGAATCGAAAAACACCTGTGTTGAGATCTATATTCAGTGTGCTACTTCGCACTGGATATTGGATGGAAGCACGACTTCAAAAGTATACATCAGACTGTCTCAAAAATGCAAATATCGGTCGGGAGCCACAGGTACGTCGTCTTCAGGAACGACTGACACCAGCTGCATGTCAACTACTGAAGCGGCACTTGCGCACTCCTATAACTGAGGTTGTAATGTCCGTTGATTTGTTCACGGCTGTTGACGCAACAGGCATTTACACGGTCAACCGTAATACCATCCAGTGTTCTTGTAGTTTTCATATTGAAAACGGAATGCCATGTCGTCACATATTGGCCTACTGCACACACAGTAATACTTATGTGAACATACAGTCAATTTGTGACGGGTGGTTGCAGTCGGATAGTTACCTAACCAACATTGCGATTGAGAATTGTTTCCCAGTGCAATTACGAAAGTCAAGCGTCAAGAAATTAGTGTATGCCTTAATCAGGCAAATGTCGGAAGAACAATGCAGTTTGGTCTATAAGCCTTTGTCTCGTTCTCTATCATTTATGGCTTGATTATGTATAGAATAGAAGTTCCTATTTGGGGTGTGTCGTGTATATAAAGTCATGAGTGAGTCTGAGTTATGATAACTACTTCCTAACCTCATCTTTTGATTGGTCACTTACATATTAGAGCTGAATGGGTCAACAGGAGTTAAGATGTCCAGTTACTGCATTTTATTGGCAAAATGGAAAACCACTTGACCGATTTACATAAGCGAATCCGTAATTAGTGGACACTATAATCAAGTGATCCGATTAAACGGACGAATAAGACTGTGCTAAAAAATGGATCAAACTGTAACACAACCCAATGATGTGAAACATACATGCTAAAATGATAAATTACCTGTTCGACTAACCACTGTGAAACGTCCATTTACTGGTGGATTATTTAAATCGCTGAGATTAAGGAAACCGAAGATCTCCACACAAAGTGAATTTTTTGCCAAATCATTCAATCTATCAATAATAACAATATTTACACATGGTAATATATTAAATTATAATATCAATCTTTGGAACAAACGCAACTTATCAGTCTAGGTGAGTGAGTGTCATAGGAAAACTTCAACACGGACACATAATACCTGTTGAACTTTTTAAAAATAACATTTTGTGGCCTAAGGTAAAATATTTGACTCAACGTTGAGCCACATTGTTTATGCAACGACAAGCGATGGATACCTTACTTAAATCCGACACGGTAGTGAATGTATACTGCCGAAGAATCTCAGTTATTCAGTCCTTTGAGGTTCTCAACAATTGTTTGAGATTAGTTTGTGATTTTAATAAAACTCAACAATCTCCACAACTTTCGTAAGTGATAATCATTCCAATTATATATGACGTGAGAAAGATAAATTGAAAACAGTTACCTACCCAGTGAATGAATGAACACCTGGAGATGGTAATAAAACTGCCATACTTTGAAGACGTCCACAATTGATAATTACACTTGGAATTACTTGATTCGGTTGACAATGTTCAATAATATGTTTGGCTAAGTTATCTATATATAATTCGACAGTATAGGCTATTTATAGGAAATAAAAGTGAATAATGCTGAACAATTGAATAAAGAACCAACTTTCAAGATTTGAAACGTATTTGTTAGCTTCGAAAATTATTGATTTCAAGTGAAATTGATTATATAACTCCATTAGATCGTTAGATAACTAAAACAAACAAAAATACCCAAAGAATCTTGATAATATCAGTAACTATAAATGAATTGAAAAGATAAGTTTTATACATACAAATATTAAAAGGCTAATTCAATTCAATGGTGTATGAAAAATATTATAAACAAAAGAGGTAAAATTATCACAGAAACTATGTTTATTGATTAGATTGGACCGTGTGTATAAGATTTGTGGTGGTCGGTATTTGATATAATCCTTAAACTTCGTATACAGTTCGTCGCGATAACCGTTCTATATAACGTACCAACGATATATTAATCAGAAGGCAAATACGAAGTGTCGATTACGTTTATTACGAGACCACACACATATGTCCAAATGTACAGATGCATTAAACAAGCATAGAAGAGTCGTGCCGAAAGGCAAGCAAGCGAGCGAGAGCAAGAGCAAGAGCGTGACAAGACCGTGCGAGCGAGTTAGCGATTGAGTGTACAATATGAATAACATGGACATATATATATCATGTGAAATGAATGAGTAATAGAATCGAATAAGCGGTTAGTGGTAAGACTAGCAGACTGAATAAATGCGTAGGCAGTAATCAATATTCAAGCATACGTATTTCATACAAGCTCAAAATAATAATAAGGATACAATAAATTGTTATAGCGTGGATGGCTTTGTCCGCTAAATAAGTTAACAAAAAGGGCTTAACTGGGTTAAATGAAAATAAACCCATTAGCACGTGAGTCGCTATAGATTACATTTTATTATGTGTACGCTTAGACACTCCGAACTTCTTAGTAGGTCTTCGGTAATTTTTTTATGGTTGAATCCCAGGGGAAAACAAAATCCGAAAGGGAGAGAAGCTTTATTTTTAGGGTTAGTTCATTTGCAAAACAACAAGCTTATTTATAGGATTAAATATGATCTTAGAGTTTTAGAAATTTCTCTAACAAAATCCAATAATGGTTTAATCAGCATAATGGAAAAATAATACATTATTATCTGGAATTCATTTGGGAGTTAGTCGAGATATTTTCACAGTTTTCCTGGCTTTTGAAAAATTTTTGAAAGAATTACCGAAGGGTTACAACAATATATACATAAATCCATAAGAAAAGTGATTTATCAGTTCATAACAATTTTTCATGTACTTGTTGAATACCGACGAAGATAGTTGTGGAAGATTTGTTAAATTAGTTACACTGAGCTTGGATAGTCGAAATTGATTGATACTAAGTTTCAAATGCCCTGGTACGGTCGAGGGTGGCGAGAGTCAGCTCTCCTTCTCCAAATGCTCTCACATGGCCACATGTATACAGCCACTACCAAGGAAGTCCTACTCACTGTCTTTACGCCGCGGCTGTGTTTACGGAATTGAGAGGATGAAAGGCGAATGTCTGGTGCTTTAACCGGGTTGGTGAACACGACGAATCTACTTAGGGGAGTTGGAAAACCCTGATTCCAAACCAATGGTGCACAAGGGCTCCAGGAACCTGAAGGAACAAATGACATATGAACCTATTATTGATTACCATTTACCATGGGATCGCATCTCCTAATATTGTCCCAATGCTTTGTGGATTAGACTTCTAGGTCAAAAGCTCCGGGTGTGGTCCCCTAAGAAAACTATCTGCCTCGGTTTGGGTATGACTGCACAGTATCCCTGCTCTCGAACCTAATAATAACTACTCTGTGTAGTGCATATACATTTTGGTGCACCTTTGTACCAACATATATTGAAACAAATTAATTAGTTCGATGCCAAACTCATTTAATGGTGCACCTTTATCATTAAGCGTAATTGAGACAGATGGATGTTAAAGTTGAACTCCTCCTTCAGGATAAAATTAAAATAAACATCAATATTCAACAAGAAGGTAGGAATAAGGCGTTCAATATTGGGAATTTAAAAAATCATCTAATAATCTTTTAGCACAATATTTGTGTGAATCTCGGACCAGAATAATTTAAGTGTCAAAGTTATTTTAACGAACTTCATTGTTTAGCAAAATATTAACAGGTAGATTAATGTCAATGTCCCAGAATATGAGACTACGAACCCAGGGCTCTAATCTTACAGGAAGAATCAGTAGACTTAGGAATCCAGGCGTACGTTTGCTGACGGACGTCAAATACGACAAAACTTGGGTCTAGGGGTTTCCTATTGACTACCTCCAACTACCATCTAACATTTCAACATCGTACACAAGATACTGAGTCATTTAGACTAGTTTCCACATAATAACTTGATCGATAGAATTCAATTTGCACTAAGAACTGGACAAATATGATATTGGCCAGTACTCAGTGAATACTGTACGTAAGGAAATAATTTGTAAAGCTTAATAACAGGAAAAAAATGATAGTCCCAAACCATTAAGCCGCTTGATCATAAATTTGTCAAGAATTATATACATGTATATATCAACAGGAGAAGTTCCACTCACCTGTTTATCACTCAAACTAATGAACAAAATTGACGTATCATTAAGTAGACTTTTGGGAAAATCTACTGGGTAAATAAGGGAGGAATGAGTGAAGTAAGAAGATCCTCCATCTGTAAACAATAAGACCTGAAGGATACAACAAAAACAAAACAAAAATTTAACTTCACATATGAATATTCATCTGAATAATAACAAATAATCTATGTACTACTGTGGTGTGTGCTACTTATATTGACATGATGTTAGTCGTAAACAGAATGTCTGGCAGTAGAGAGACAAGAGGATCGAACAGTAAAGAATGGAAACAGGATGCAATTTGTATGAAAATGCAAGAACAATGAAGTCTGAGTCATTTTGAGACAATTGGTGGACATTTTGCAAATTACGTATTTACTATTTGATTGTTAGATTTTATTAACAAGTACTGTAATTTTGTGTTAAATACATTCGATTCTTGTTCTTGTTCACTACACTACTAATATTGCACAATAATCACAGTAATGATTTAGTAAAATTGAAAGTCATAATAATGATAACTATTTTTATTATAATGATCGATTTAAATAATCACACTTAACTTGAATTTAGATTAATTCAATGAATTCCAAAATGTGATCCAAACCAATCTACCAGAAATATGTTATCTGTAATTCTAAAAACAGTCGTCCAACCATTAGCAACGTCGAGCTTGGAATGTATATGCATCAACCGAAGATATCATACCACATTAGCACGAGTTGGAATTGCTAAGGCAAGTACCACTGACGTCGACAGATATAAGTAGTACGTAGCACCAATAGGAAGTGGAATGTCTGGCGGCGGAAGTTTAAGAAGATGGAGAAGAGAACGAGAACAGAGAGTGATTGGTATGGAAACGAAGGAGCCATGTCTGATAACGTCTTTAGCCACTGTATTGCACCATCTCTAGGACCCCAATCAAGAAATCATGTAGATCCAACAGAAGCCAGTCCTGTACAGCTTTCTTTCATAACACGACACCATGTCATACATTGACTACCTCTCCGCTTCTTCCAACTGGTCCCAGTGTCGCAAATAATGCACGACGTGGAATTCTCTAAGACATTCGTAGAACATGTCCAAACCACCAAAGCCGATGTTTCAAGATAGTGACACAAACTGAATTGTCGTCGCTGTACCCAAACACACGATGCCGAATCTCTACATTACTAACATGGTGTTGCCACACGATGTCAACAATCCTTCGGAAACAATGATGATCAAATACAGAGAGTCGTCTAAAATCCGCAACACGAAGAGGCCAGGCCTAACAAGCATTAAGTAAAACTGCTCTCACCGACGCGTTGTGGATCCGACCTTTTACAGACAGACTGATATCACAAATGCGCCCAACATGGTCCAGGTTGGCATAAGTAGTTCTGGCTTTCGCTATACTTGAATTGGTCGCATCACTCACGTCACCACCAGCACTTATGCAGCTACCCAGATATACATACTTCTCGACTACTTCTATTTTCTCACTACCCAAAGTGAGTGCAAGATCAGGGTCCTGTTAGTCTTGTAAAAGTACTTTGCACTTCGAAAGTGCAAAGCACACTCCATACTTACGGATACCTATTGCCAACTGATTAAGTGCGGATTGAATGGCTTGGGTATAGTCGCACAGTAAGACAATATCATCCACATACTCAAAGTCTAGAAATCTTTCTCCAGGCAACAGATCCACACCACTATCACCTACACCCATCAGAGCCGTTTCCAGAAAGTCATCGAGAGCAAAGTTGAGGGAGAATGGTGAGATTGGGCAACCCTGTCTAACCCCACTGCTTGAATGGAATAATGGGGAGATGGTTTTATGTCCTCACTCTGCCTAAGATGTTAACATATAGGGCTTTCAAGATGTTAATAAACTTCTCAGGCACACCCTTCCTTAATAAACAATCCAAGACAAAAATCCTGTCCAACGAATCCACGGCGACCTTAATGTCAATAAATACTACAATTGTTGGTCTGTAATATGTATGATGGTGTTCCAAAATATGTTGGAGGGTGAAGGTATGATCAATACATCCTCCACCAGAACGAATACCAGTCTGCTTCTCGCGAGTCAATCTCTCCCGGGTTTTGAACAACCTAAGAAGTGTGACGAAAGCCAATAATTTGGACGCGATCGGAATTAGACTTACTTCCCGATGGTTGTTGCAGAAACGACGTGAACCCTTTTAAAAGATAGGGACAACTATTGACTCATTCCATGATGGTGGAACACTAATTGCTAGACCTTTGTAAATAAATCAGTCAATTCCATAAGCAGAAAGTCGCCACTATCTTTAGAAAGGGCCAGAGGTACGTTATCTAGACCTGGTGATCTGTGGTGTTTCAAGAGCTGGAGTTTCTTGCGGACTACCACATCGTTAGGTGGACCAGTTGTCATAGACCATGGAGGTCAGGACAGTCTGATCGATGTTACCGGGAAGTAGATCGGTTAAACTGTTATTCAGAAAACTCTGCCCATCGTCCAAGACGTCGTTAGATGTTACTGATTGGCATCCCGTCATTTCCACAGATTGTTTCACTTACACCAGACTTCCTGCTGCCAGTGACTCAGATGAATTGAAAGAGTTCCCGGCAGTTACCGGATGCAGCTGCTGCTTCCAATTCGTCGGCACATTCCAACCAACAGAGTTCTCGGCCCTTAGGCAAGCTTTTCACAATTTCATTGCGTAACAGTCTTCATTTGTGGTCAAACTCGCGGTCAACCGGAATAGACCAACATGTTTCAACAAGTTGTAAAGAGCCTGTAGAAACCCAGTGTTTAAAAGCGGGAAGTTTCGCGAAGCCGCAAGCGACTTTACTAGCCATTTTCATGGTATCATGCAATTATAACCAGTGATCATCTATACTTTTGAGACTATCCCCCGAGCCTTTTACCTAGAAGTCTAGTCCACAAAGCATTGGGACAATGTTAGGAGATGCGATCCCATGGTAAATGGTAATCAATAATAGGTTCATATGTCATTTGTTCCTTCAGGTTCCTGGAGCCCTTGTGCACCATTGGTTTGGAATCAGGGTTTTCCAACTCCCCTAAGTAGATTCGTCGTGTTCACCAACCCGGTTAAAGCACCAGACATTCGCCTTTCATCCTCTCAATTCCGTAAACACAGCCGCGGCGTAAAGACAGTGAGTAGGACTTCCTTGGTAGTGGCTGTATACATGTGGCCATGTGAGAGCATTTGGAGAAGGAGAGCTGACTCTCGCCACCTTCGACCGTACCAGAGCATTTGGTACCAAAAGTTATTAACATGTTGTATAAAAACCACCTAATGTGAGCTTGCTACATAAATACCAGCATGTAAAACGAAATTGGAGCTTGTCATCTGATGCCAAGTTTTTAAGTGCTTAATTGTCATCCAACTTAAATATCTGCAATACGTAATTTTAACAGTTAAATATATAAATATAAACATTGTATTCACTTGAATATTTGACCATGGTCCATAGTACAGATATGCTTCTTTCAAGATGTTAAGAATTGATGTGGCAGTCAATTCACTAGGGAACATCACCTTAGCTGTCTGTTCAATGTGATCAATTGCACTATGCAAGCTAGATATATCGGAGGAAAATGTGCCAAGTGATCCTTTAGGAGACAAGCTTGTTGTATCGCACTGTTAAAATAAGAAATTAAAACATGTTGAATTCCCATCTATAGCTTATATTAAGAATCGAAAAAGTACTTATACAATGGTAGAGTGACAACCAAAAAGGGAGAATAAATCAGGATGCTGAATTTTGGTAATTTATTTCATAATTCTAAATAAGAACAGATATTTTTGCAAAGAAATTTTCTCTTCAACGAACAGATCTTATAATTTTCATTCATTATACTCACGTATACAGATATATAAAACCTTTTTATTACACGGATTATCGTGCCGAAATAAGATTGTACAGTTTTTAGAAGTGAAGTCATCGAAGAGAAAATTCCGTTATTCAATTTTATCATTAAAAACACTGTATTATAACAGCTCATAACATCAATAACAAGTGTAATTCATTCGGTGCAGTAGGCTTATGCACTCCAGTTATGAGTCAGATAGTTTACGTGAAAGCTTCCTAAATTTAAGAAGGTACAAAAAGGTTAAAACATGTAAACCACTGATTAGGAGTGAAGTGAGGTGAGCACTAAGTTCTACAGTTTGTAGAACCATTGGACAGTATTCTGTAAAGGATCCTTATTCAAGGGCGCCATCAAGTTTATCCTGGTACTTCGCTGGCCTGATAACAACAACACTACTAGCATAGTGCTGCCTTTAACGTAAACAATACTGAGATTTGTGATAAAGTACAAATTAGAGTTTAAAATATTTGGTACGATGCTAGATATATATATAATCTTTGAAAAATAAATGCGTCACGCTTCTAACCACATTCAGATCTACATCCGAAAACTTATATTTAAGACTAACACCTGATCTTTGTGAACCATTTACGCACTAATCTATTCATAACAATACTGCAGAAAGTATGCTTTGGAATAAGAAAAATAATAACTTACTACAGATATAAAACCAGGATTTTCAAAGTTACAAAGTCTAACTATAACAGATTTAGCCAACATGCATAGTAATTGACTGCATGAAAATGATGGAAATTTTTCATTTGGACGCAGAATACGTAGCTGTCTATCAATGACAATTAGACGAATCATTTCTTAGAAACTGTGAAATGTGTCTAAAAACGAAACAGAATTAATTTAAGGTTTTAAATCTGATCAATCCTTAAAGACGAGGAAAAAAATCCAAATTGTAATCTTGTATAGGTTTGCATATTAGGTGTGAAGACTACCATACTAGCCAACCGTTGGTGCTGCAGTAAGTGAAAAATAAGATACAATGATAATCCAAACAAATAAATGGATATACCCGAATTTTTACTTAAAACAACGATAGGGATTATAAATGGTTTGACTAACAATCACCTAAAATAAGTATGGAAATCTAAACCTTTACTCTCCACAAATTAACAAAGGCATATTACGCCTTGTGACCGGCCTAAAGAAGTTTAAGAGCTAAAACATTTAACAAACACTAACTGAATAGGTTTTTGTACTTTCGATTGGACAATCTATAAAGCAAGCTGTCACCCAGCAGCTGAAGTTCTAGTGGATCTAGGAAAGTGTTGTCAGTCAATCTGTTCTGTGAGGAATAAAGTTTAATGTAGGACAGTGTTATGGCTATGTATCTTGGTGTTCATGTTACCAGAATGTAAGTCAGTCAGTTTATTGTAGCTGTGTCAATAAAAGAAAGTGGAAAAATGATAAATTGATCATATCTAGAGAATGGGTTCTTTTGAGAGAAGTAACGGGTATAAAAAGAACAGGAATTCAACAAGAAACTGAAAAAAAACAATTGACCAAAGCAGGGTGTGTTTTTTTGCTTTCCATCTAGGAAAATAACAACCCAGTTTTCTAGACATTTTTGATGACGGAGCTATATCTTGACCATAAGTTAAAACGTCTTAAAGTTAGAAAAACCGAAAATGAAAAATAATAAGCACCTTATAAATAGAAACTAGATTTGGGACAAAAGGCTGTGTTGTTTAGAGTTGCCAATAGGCCAGTTTCGAATAAATTTCACCGGATACGAATGTGCAATAACCTAGAAATATCAAACAATATCAATGCAGTGGGTAGAAGTAATGATAATGTCTATGATGGTAAAGTGGGCAAAACAGTGAATATAGTTCAGTGAGGTCTAAGAAATAGTTACGAAACACAGGACTTGAGAAGAAATAAGAAGATGGATGTATTTCCGTCACTAAAACCAATTCTGGAGCATGATCCAACTTCTGGATATGATTGTTGCACGGATCCTAACAACAACGACTAGTCTGACCGAAAAGTTAATAACTTAGTAGCGTTGGATTCCATTTTAACCGCCTCTAGCCTTCTTTCAACCTACTTCTGTAACTAGTAACATTGTGCGCCGATATGGGTGGCAATTCTGTAAGCTTGACATAAAGAGTATGGGTTAGGATGTGGATAAATGACCCAGTCTACATATGATTTACACACCGAAACATTCCCCATCCAGCCTGAAATATCTAATTTAACCTAGGGTTTGTGTAGGTTCCGTGATCTATAGATGTTAAGAAAGATACAACCGCTTTACCGCTAGAAGGACAAACGAGGCAATATGAATAATGAGGAAATGAGTTATCCTACGCGTATCTCTCGCAAATAGTTGATCAATTTACACATAAAAGACACAGCACAAAAATCTTGATTAGGAAGTTTAATCAGACTGGACTCGGCCGTATTATGGTGAGTTAGTATATACATACTACATTTTATCAATTTAGTCCCTTAGTGCGATGGTTTATAGATACCTATGGTTTGGATCGACGCCCACTGACAAAGATGACATGAACCACTGATATTTGACAGTAACTACAAGCACTGGAATAAAATTTACCTTTGAGATACGCTCTAAACATTCGACTACAATTAAAAACCAGATGGTGCCGTAAAACTTCGAACGAGTTACACATCCCGAACATTTAAACTACTTCAAGGCCACCACTCACAATCCAGTATCAAATACATTTTCTATCTTTGTGACAGCTTATGTGATTTATATACTCCTTGATATTGCTACAGGACTCCATGTCTTTGATGATGTCTAGTGTGACTAATTCATCAAAATGTACTGATCCTAATGAGTTCGACAGTTAAGTATTGTCTATCGAAAAGATAGAATTCTGATTTTCTTGTCACACTGATACTATTTATGACAGAATATTTGACTTACAAACTCTGCTAATTGTAAGAGAACCATTAACAGCCGATCCGCTCAGAAATATCTCCACATGGTTTGACAGACACCTTTCATTTTCCTGAAATTCTAGGAAACGTCAAGGTCTTTGATAAATTCCTCATTTCGTTTAATGTCCCAATACCATTTGCTGCAGTCTCATAGATTAGACGCTGCAAATTTTGTGTGAAGACAGCGGACTTCTTCTCCTACCAAGAGTAGGATCAAACAGCTCTCACCACTGTGCACAAAATTAGTACAGTTTCAAAATAACAACACATCGAAGAGTTGATGGGGTCACTTTGTACATGCTATCGGGATCGATCCTGAAAGTACAATAGTCTAAGAGGCCTAAGCTTCATTTAAGTTGATCGAACAATCTTGTTGGTCATCAACGTTGATGATCTCTGTAGAATAACTGGAGGCCTACTCGAGTAAGACAGGAATGATGTGATAAACCAGCTAACTTCGAAGGCATACCTAGAGGTCAGCATCGAATATGGATAACCTTTAGACCTATCAAATTGCTATGATTGCTATGAAGAACATGTAACACAAAAGACGTTATCATAAAAATATATTAGTAAGAGTGAGTACAGAGAAGATAGAGAGACCACCACTGTATGGGCCAGCCCATGGCATAAGATTAACTGATGCGCGTTGGTTGTCCTTGACCTTGACAGGGATTGATGATCTGTTCGGTATTCAGTGACCCAACTGCCAGATGATTTAGCTAGAGCTCATTGACATTTCACTGGCCCTACAATACTCCCCCACCAGATCAAACAGCCTTTTGAATCAGTAACAAATATGTTAGGAGTATTTGCACTCCGTAGATTGCCAAACAATTAATATGAATCCTCCGGATATTGCTGAGCGGTAAGACAAGTGGAAAGAAGGCCGTCGGAAGTGATCGGGAAACAGCAAGTTGTAATATGTTACTAGGACGTTGGTTGAATGTAAAGCGATTAACAATAGAAATGATAAAAAAAACATAACGCTTTAAAATTCTATCAAGTCCAGATGAAGTAGATATCTTCGACGCGTAATTGAGTTCCATATATGACCATAAAAATAAAAAAGAATAGATATAGAATGCAATAATAAGGTTGATAATGATTGGTTGCGTTTTTCGAATTCTTGCTCACTAGTGTAGATCACCAACGTTGATGATCTCTGTAGCCCAGCTGTTATGGTTAAATAATGTCTAACGCCAACCTTCAAGCCATAGCGTAAAAACTTGTATTAGCATGTATATCTCGGCAGTATAGTGAGGCTAACATAAAACTGAAAACACAAGTCTAAGGGGCGGGAAGCAAAGAAGAGCAACCTCAACATCATTGGATAGCTGCTTTGTCTCCAAATATAAAAAGCCTCAGGTTGACCGGATGTTCCGCTTCATAAGACCGGGTGGATCAAAATCATCTCCCTCACATGTTTGCTGGTTAGTGACACGTTCCTCCCTCCTTTTGTTGCGCCAAGTCGATTGAAGGCTATTGGTGGAATTAACCTTGACATTAGTTTTCATTGTACGTAAATGCATCTCCGTATGTTTTGAAAAATTTTCTTTCAGAATCTTCATCTTCAGTAATATATAAATGTTCATCCAATTTGCAATTCCTTCATAACTGTTGTTACTGTTTTGTTAATCCTCATTAATCTGACAAAAAGCATGTATATTTGTTCTAAATAATTATTACTATGGTTTTAAGGGTATTTTAAGCAGCTAACGATAATCCATGAACTAAATGAATTATGGTGTTTAATGCACACATGCTAAGTTCACATAATTGCGTTCTCATTTTGGAACACAACATCTGACTGGACAAGTGACTGTCAAACGCACGAGATCGATTCTATCGGTTTAATTGTTCTCAGTTATCCGACTAATTCATATAATACCTAGTGTGTGAATCCTTCTAACATTCGTTTGTTTGATTACCTGTCTATCTAATTATATGATTGTCACATTCCATCACTACACTAATCGTTAACTACCTGAGATACATTAACTTACTGACTTTCTGACCACTATACTCATTTCAATACAATGCATTTTATACCAGTCTAATGTAGTCTTGAACTTGCTTCACTATAATATAATTACTGGACATTCTACGACCAGTGTTATCCCTATTCTAATACAGTTGCTGGTGATTGTAAGTGTCAGTGTTATTCCAATACCGTTTTTTTATTTTAATGGGTTTCAGTTAACACCTCCTGTAGCTCTTCTAGAGTTACTGCCGAGCATGGGGTTAGCGACCCCATCCCGTAGAAAACTAACTCGCTAAAAAAACGCTTACCAGAAAAAATTATTCAAACCATTTAAACTCTGCCCTGAAAGTTAGAAGGTCTTCATTTAGAAGAATTATGACGCTTCATGGTGAAAGTCGAGTTCCTTCGGAAGCCACGAGGCCGATGCCCTTCTAACAACCACAGCAAACATTTTTATAGGTACATGGAACGTCCGAACAATGTGGGAGACCATGAAGACCAGTCAAATAGCAACGGAAATAAGGAGATACAACTTGGCAGTACTGGGAATCAGCGAAACCCATTGGACCTAAGCTGGACAACAAAGGCTAAATACGGAAGAGATGCTGCTATACTCCGGTCACGAAAAGGAAAATGTTCCACACACTCAGGGAGTTGCTCTAATGCTGTCTAAAGTAGCACGAAATGCACTTGCAGGATGGGAATCTCACGGATCCAGAATCATCAAAGCATCATTCAAAACAAAGAGAAGGGGATTTTAATGAATATTATCTAATGTTATGCACCCACCAATGATAGCAACGACAACATTAAAGATCAGTTCTACGAGCGGCTGCAGTCAATCATAGTGAAATGCCCAAGAAAGAACCCCACCATTCTGATGGGAGATCTAAATGCCAAAGTCGGAATAGGCAATACCGGATATGAAGGTATCATGGGAAGACATGGACTGGGAGTGAGAAACGAAAATGGAGAAAGATTCATAAATCTGTGTGCATTCAACAAATTTGTCTTAGGAGGCACAATATTTCCACGCAAACATATACACAAAGCTACATGGATCTCACCGGACCACACTACAGAGAACCAGATAGATCATATTTGCATCAACAAAAAATTCCGAAGGACAATGGAAGATGTGAGAACCAGGAGAGGAGTTGATATAGCTTCAGATCACCACACCATCTAGTTGTAGCCAATTTAAAACTGAAGCTAAAGAAGAACTGAACAACTGGACAAACAGCAATACAAAGGTTCAATACAGCCTTCCTTCGAGATACTAACAAAATCAACGAATTCAAGATAGCTCTCAACAACAGGTTCCAAGCTTTACAGGATCTATTGAAGGAAGAAGAAATTACTATAGAGGACAACTGGAAAGGCATCAAAGAAGCATTAACTTCGACGTGTCAAGGGGTTCTGGGCCTAAAGAAGCACCACCATAAGGAAGGGACCTCTATAGAAACACTGGACAAGATCAAAGAAAGGAAGAACAAGAAGACAGCAATTAACAACAGCCGAACACGAGCAGAGAAAGTTCAAGCACAAGCTGAATACATAGAAGCAAACAAGCAAGAGAAGAAAAGCCTTGGAGCCGAAAAGGAGAAGTACGTGGAAGAATTAGCAACGACGGCAAAAAAAACTGCTAGAGAAGGAAATATAAAACAGCTTTATGATACAACGAAGAAACTATCAGGCAAATACAGTAAACCAGAGAGACCGGTCAAAGACAAAGAAGGCAGACCAATCACTGAAATTCAACAACAGAGGAACAGATGGGTAGAGTACTTCAAGGAACTCCTGAATAGGCTGGCTCCAACGAATCCACCGGACATCGAAGCAGCACACACAGATCTTCCTATAGATGTCAATCCACCAACGACGGAAGAAATCAGAATGGCCATCAGACAAATCAAGAACGGGAAAGCAGCAGGACCCGACATGATACCAGCTGAAGCACTGAAATCAGACATCGAAGTAACTACAAACATGCTTCACCTTCTATTCAGGCAGATTTGGGAGGAGGAACAAGTGCCGATGAACTGGAAAGAAGGACACCTCATCAAGATTCCAAAGAAAGGAGGTCTGAGCGAATGTGAAAACTACAGAGGCATTACACTGCTGTCAATACCAGGGAAAGTCTTTAACAAAGTGTTGATGAACCGGATGAAGGATGCAGTAGACGCCCAACTTCGAGATCAACAAGCTGGATGCCTTAAGGATCGATCGTGCACAGACCAAATTGCGACACTACGGATCATCGTCGAACAATCAGTTGAGTGGAACTCATCATTATACATCAACTTCATTGATTATGAAAAGGCGTTCGACAGTGTAGATAGGAGGACATTATGGAAACTTCTTCGACACTACGGAGTTCCTGAGAAGATTGTCAATATTATCCGGAACTCATACGACGGACTACAGTGCAAAGTAGTGCATGGAGGACAGCTGACAGATGCATTCCAAGTAAGGACCGGAATCAGACAAGGCTGTTTACTCTCTCCCTTTCTCTTTCTTCTGGTGGTCGACTGGATTATGAAGACCTCGACATCTGAAGGAAAACACGGAATACAATGGACAGCTCAGAACCAATTAGACGATCTGGACTTCGCAGATGACCTAGCTCTTATATCACGTACACACGAACAGATGCAGATGAAGACAGCCAGTGTAGCAGCAGTCTCTGCATCAGTAGGCTTCAAAATACACAAGGGGAAAATCAAGGTCCTCAAATTCAAAACGGAGATCAGCGATCCAATCACTCTTGATGGCTAAACTCTGGAAGATGTAGAATCCTTCACATACATGGGAAGCATCACCGATGAACAAGGAGGTTCAAATGCAGACGTAAAGGCGAGGATTGGCAAAGCAAGTGTCGCATTCCTACAATTGAAGAACACATGGAACTCAAAACAACTCCCTGTCAACCAATATCAAAGTGAGAATCTTCAATACGAACGTCAAGGCAGTTCTACTGTATGGAGCTGAAACTTGGAGAACTACAACAACCACAATCAAGAAATTACAAGTATTTATAAATAGTTGTCTACGCACGATACTCAACATCCATTGGCCGGATATCATCAGCAACAGCCTTCTGTGGGAGAGAACAAACCAACTTCCAGCTGAAGAAGAAATTAGGAAAAGCCGATTGAAATGGATAGGACATACATTACGCAAATCGTCAAACTGCATCACGAGGCAAGCCCTAACTTAGGATCCTGAAGGGAAGCGTAAAAGAGGAAGGTCAAAGAACATATTACGTCGGGAAATAGAAGCGGTAACATGAAAAGGATGCTTATCAACCTTTGATTGAGTTATTGAACATGTTGTTTTATACAGAATTAGAAGTTCGGCCGCCGGATAAGTTCTGGCTAGCGCAGTATTCAGTCTCCTGTTGATTGTGTTTGCAAGATCATCACCTCTGAAGTTAAGATTTATAGTTATTGGTTTTTTACTGACCGTAATTACTTCAGTATTAATTTCTTTAGGCTTCTTATATTTGTCAATAAACTTTTGTGGATAAGAGTTGTCTCGTAGGCATTTTCCACTTTCATCAATTCTTCTTCCAGTTTGTCAGTGGCACATATCCTTTATAACCTATAAAATAGTGTTTTAACTAATGCCTTCTTGTAATTGAGTGGACAAAAACTATTGAAATTCAGG